TATCTCCCCCTCCTTTGTCTCACACGCCCACACACACACATGCTTGCTGGATTGTTTTGTTTGTGTATGATTTGATTATTGTCCTATTTCATTTTTCTTAGAATAGTTAATAATGATTTACTTGCTAAAGTTATTGATCTATGCTTGGGTTGAATAACCCCATTATATTTAAGAAGTCGTTGCCTGTGATTATTTTGGATAATGTTGTAGTAAGAGTTGGTTGCCACGCCAGCGTACGGATTCACCCTTCTCTGTTTGCCATAGACGGACCATACTTGTCTCATATTTGCTTATGTCCCTGATTCCAGGGTGGTGCCCTGTATTTATTAATTATAATAATAATTTTGAATATTAATAATTTTATTAATATTTCTAGAATATCTTTGATATTCAGCTAATACCAAACCTGACCATATGTTGACAAACCCCCAACATAAGTTTGCTGTACACATTAAACTTTTTTTTTTTCATGTCCCGCCTCTTCCAGGGTGTGATTGTTTGGATGACGAACAGTGACTCACAAGCACTTCGGCTTTATGAAAAGTTGATCAACAAAAGTCACTGTTACAGATAACATTAAATGGCCAGCGAGCCAAACCCAAACCTTCCTTATCTTCACCCAGTATTCTTCTGTCTTACTGCTTCTGCTGCTGACAACGACTCTCTGTCACAGAGTGACTGGCATTTCTCCTGGTGCTCGTAGGCCTATCTGTTTTTAGGCACATGCGAGAGCCCGGTGGGGTGGATAGAGAGCAAGCAGACTGCAGCCCACAGAAGAGAGTGTCACACACACCTTTTCTCTTTTATTAAATCACACACTTTTTGCGGTTATGTAATTGCATGTGATGACATTGCGATTAGATTAATCGTGCAGCCCTGGATCCCTTACATGTAGTTTATTGAAGAATTTTCAATTCTGTTAAATTTTATTGAACAATTCATAGCATTATCTCATTACACTTTTCATTCAGAGCAGGCCTAGGCCGTACTCTTTGTAATATTTTAATAGAGACCCAACAGTTCTTACCATCAGCAAGCACTTGGCAACACAGTTGAAACGCGAGCCAACTTTGTTACCTGGGCGGTGGAGATTTTCAAATAAGGTGGAAATGGTGGAGTGGATAACACCAGGTAGCAAAACCATCCAACTCAACATCGGATGAAACAGAGGTATATGTGGAAGTAGGGCTGTGCGATATATGTATTGTTTGACAATAGTAAAGACGTCCATTTACAATAATGCTCTATTGTTATATATGTAATATTTCCGCAAGGGGGTTGTGCTTTGCACCGCGGTGAAGTTAGTTTTCATTGGATATTTGACCCTATCAAACATCCAATGTGAAACTAATATCAACTTGAAACTAACTTCACCACGTCAATTCTTCCACAAGTGCTGGTGTTGCAGGGAAGAAATTTGCATTAAAAATAACAAATGTAGAGGAGAGTGACGTTTACTCAGAACTGGATATTACTGAACAGGAGGACTCAGAACATGCAGCAAAAACTAGGAGCTCAAACCTAAGAGAAGACTACAATGATACACAGATACAATGCAGTAGTTCCAGCCACAATGTTTGTGTTAGATAACGTTTAATGACTTTTCCCAAAGACATTCAGCTTATTTTCTAGTTCACCAAGACATGCTGTTTTGTGATATTAGCTATAGCAGCAGAGTTGTGAGTAATGCAGTCTGGAGCTGCCATCATCTTCTCATGTTAGCTTTGCAGCAGCAAGTAGCGCAGCAGTTTGCTACATTACTTGTTACATTACTTGCTGTGTCGTTGTTCACTCTGTGTCATGGTGTTGGACTTTAACAAGTTGTTGGTATAAATAATGTAAACAAGATTATTGAACAATAAGTGTGGCATGGGTGCTGCTGGTCTGTTATTAAAAACTCTGAAACTGAAGCTGCCTATAAATGTATATCCCTACAATTCATGTTGAAACACGGAACAGGTTGGCAGGCTGGGCTTCCAGGGCTGAAGCAAAGACCTGAGACGGGAGCAAAAAATAAACTCAATGTCAGATCGTAATCTTGGCAAGAGGTTCTAAAGCGAACTTGGCTAAATACTTAAGTGGGACGTAGCTTGTGTTACCACATGGGTGAACGGACGATCTGGCAGACTGGTTGGAAAAGGCAGGGTTTAGAGGGTTGGAAGAAACTGGTTTCAGTTGAGAGACATGAAAAGTTGGGTGGATTCTCATGGTACCCATCAGCTGCCAAGTTAAGGCAGCTGTGTTCATGACACAATCTATTATAAAGGGGCCAATGAACTGGGGGAGAGTTTCTTAGAATCAGTCTTCAGAGTTATGTTTTTTGAGAAAAGCCAAACTCTTTGACCTGGTTTATACATGGGCAGTGGTGATTGCTTTGCCATGGAGCGGAGATCACAGCCAGTATCCTTCCTGATTTTGCGGCATCGTCTGAGGTGATTCTAGATTGAGGGAACTGATAAAATCACTATCCTGAGAAGGAAACAGAGGGAGTTGATAACCGACAGAGGCTTCAAAAGGGACAGACCTGTGGCCGTGTGGGTCAGGGAGTTGTGTGCATACTCCACCCAGGCAAGCTGCGAACTTCAGGTGGATGGTAGGTGGACTTCACGCTTCCATGATAGTGCAGATAGTGTTATTACCTTTGCACGGCGGTAACCCCACAATGAAGTTGAAAGCTATGTGTTACCATGGGCGGCCAGGCACGGGCAGTGGGATCGGGTTGTCCTTCTGGAGTTCGATGGGATGCCTTACTCTGAGCACAGACTGTGCATGCAGACACGTAGCTTGGGTGTCAGCCTCCATGGTAGCCCACCAAAAACACCTCTTTAGCAGAGACAGGGTATGGTTTGAAGCCAGGGTGACAAGAGAAACGTGAAGTGGGACCGACTGCAAGACCTGGGAACAACAGATTCAGGCACGAACAAACGGTTAGCAGGGCTGTTACCTGGTCTGGCTGATTCCTTTGGGCCTCTCTAGCAGCTGCCTTGATTCCCAAGGAGATAGCTGCCACCACACAACTGGGTGGGAGGATTGTCAGAACTAGTGATGTCCTCCAGGATAATGTATCTGGGACAAGGCATTTGGCTTGACATTTCTGGAGCCAGGTCTGTAGAAATAGAGAGAACTGCCCAGCGTGCCTGGCAAGAATTGAGCAGTGTGACAGTAGGCCAGGTTTTATTGATCTGTCCAAACAAAAGGTTGCTCAGTTCCCTCAAAGTAGTGTGCCACTCCTCTAATGCTAACTTTACGGCTAGTAACTCCCTGTTTCCCACATCATGTTTATGTTTTCCCATAACTCAACAACTCACAAAACTCAGATTTTTTTTAAGGGAGTTTGGGGCAGATTAGCCGCCGCCTCACGCATTGACAGGAGGACTGTTTTCTCTTCTTTAGAAAGTATGAAATTGTCCGGTGTTGTCTAATCTTGTGCACTCGGCAGCAACACGTTCTCCAGCTGGGAACGTCGCCATGAGCGATGCATCGTTTATGATTGTAAAGTCAGGGCACATCTGGAGTGTGAACGCGGCCGTTGTGTATCATAAATGTGCTACTCTCAGTGCCATTAAAAATCAATCAATTTGTCCAAGGCAAACTGTATAGAAACCATTGCAGCTCATAGCGTGAAGTAACACGGCTTTAATGGGAAGCTAGCTTGCTAACTAGCTTACCGAGACAAGTCTTCATCATCCACAGAGCAACAACGTTACGCGCCTCCTCTTCAGATGCTCCGGTGTTTCCAGGAAAGCTCAGCTTTGCAGACGCTGCAGTTAACAACCTTTTTGGCTGAGTGAAGAGTGAAGTGCCACACTCTGGAGGTTTTAGGTGGTGAAGGTGTTACTGCAATGTTGTTGTAGTAACTTTACCGTTCACATCACTTTAGCCCGTTAAGCTGACTGTGTCGTTGTGGCCCAATGGCCTCATGAACAATTTTTGTCGACTACGTCGATTAGTTGTTGCACCCCTAGAGTGTATGTCTTTATCTCCTTCTTCCTAAAATCAGTGATCAGCTCCTTTTTGCTGACGTTGAGCAGTAGGTTGTTCTCTGAGCACCACTCTACAAGATTATGAATTTCCTCCTGATATCGATTCTCATTGTTTGAAATCCAGCCAATGATGGTGGTGTCATCCACAGCCCTGGGGGGCTCCGGTGTTGAGCACTAGAGTGGAGGAGTTGAGTCCACCAATCCAAACTGACTGGGGTCTGTTTGTGAGGAAGTCCAATATCCAGCTGCAGAGTGTTGTATTTAAAAACCCAGAGTGCTGAGTTTGCTAATCAATTTCATGGGGAGATTGTGTTGAATGGTGAGCTGAAATCCACAAACAGCATTCTGATGTAGGTGTAGTTTTTCACAGTGGAGATGGTATCCTTTAAAAACCCTAAATCTTATCTAGCAGCCCAGGTTATGTTACATCAGAACATAACCTGGGCAAGTGTTTTTATAATGATGGCAAACAAGGAAATACGCGTAGTGTGAGACAATGGCTGATTGTTGGAGTGAAGTCCTGTATCTCACTTCATTTTCATCTTTCATCTTTGTGTTTCTCTAGCAACCACGCCCTGGTTTGAAACCTACAGGGAGAACTTCCTGCAGTCGATGCCTGCCTCCGACCATGAGTTCCTCAATCACTACCTCGCCTGTATCCTTCCAACAGCACACAATCTGGCTACTGCTCCAGATAAGTCAACATACTCATGTCAGTTCTTTTAAATTTCTGCATTTCTTTAAAGAGGTGGTATTATGCTCATTTTCAGGTTCAAAATCTCAATTAGGGGTTGTACCAGAACAGGTTTACATGGTTTAATTTTCACACATATTTTTCTCATTCTGCACATTGCTGCAGCTCCTCTTTTCACCCTGTGTGTTGTACGCTCCACTCTTGAGCTACAGAGTGATGCATCTTACTTGTACAAAATCTTTGTTGGGAGTTGCACATGCACAGTTCCCAGGTAAGGACTATTAGCCAATCAGAAGCAGAGAAGGGCGGGTCGTAAGAAACAAGGTAGTGTGATCCAAATCAAAGCCGCTTCAGACTGCGACCGTAACCTAGCAGATGGTATAAGTTACTCTCAAGTCCACAACCACACAACATCATCATCTTACCATAAACGCTATGAGCTGGCCGGCCTCACATTCTCCTCCCGCGGGTTGGCACAGGCTTCCCCTGCAGCCACTTCTGGAGCTCCTCAACTCCGAAAATATTCAAGCGCATTTTTGTTCCGCCATCACTTCTCTTAAAACTGTCAGTAATCAAAATCTACACAGTTGATTTCTCATCTCAAAACTTCTTAGAAGTGGATTTAGTGATGAAATTACATATGGAAACTGTAAAATATAAACCTCTCTGTTGCTGGCCTTTGTCTGGCGCACGCAATGATGATGCAGTGAATAGTGAATATTCTCTCTGACCAATCAGTAGTCTGTCATGTTTTCACGTTACATTTTAGTATCCCTCAGCTCGCTTGGAACCTCACGTAGGTGAGGTGATACAAAAAAAGTACCTGGAAGTAGGTACAGGTACAACATTTCTACAATGGAAAACCAAACAAAGGCGAGTCGAGCCAAAGGGCCTCCGCTCAGACTAGCCGCTTGGCAAGCTTTATGACGCGTTTTCATTGTGACGTCACAGTGAAGGAAGGGAAATGGCTGGACTACAAACAAGCTGTTTTCAAGTGGTTCAGAGCAGTGCTTTCTGTGGGAGATGGGAACTCCCTTTCGGCTGGACTTTGGGCTTTTCACTTTGCAAACCTGTTACATGCACAAAAAAGAGATATAACTCAATAAAGGAGAGGGGAAAAGCCAAAAAGCATAATACCACCTCTTTAAAGTTCTAGTTAGGATAAGCAGCGTCCTGGTTCAGTAGTGGGGTGCAATTCATGTCACAGGGTCTGTTAAAATACAACACTGAGTATTTGCTTTATTTTATATGTCACTATGTTCTAATATACATTAAATTATCTGCTAAGTTCTGTGTGTAGCATGAAGGGCCTACAGACTTTGATTTCGTTATACAATGAAAGTATATATATAAAATAGATTTTTTGATACATGATAATTTTGAATATTTCAGTTTTAATATTCATTTTCCACAGCATCGATCCTAAAAAATGCGCTTCTCTTCTCCCTGACAGCAAGCTGATACACAGACCGCTGCAGCGCCCACACAGCCACGCCTCCTGTCACTCACACCACTTTCTTCTCGTCTCATTCGCTGAATTTGAATCAGTTTTTTTTTTTTCTGCCAGTTTCGACAAGTCCCGCCCTATTGTGCTGTGATTGGCTAGTACTCGTCACTTGTGTTGGATACTGACAAATGATACAAGCAAGGCCATATGAAAGTGAAGGTACAGTGCTGCTAAAGACCAAAGCACCGGCAGGAACGACTTGGAAGAACCTTGAGAGGTTGGAGATATCTCCACTTTCAACATCATTAAAGTATTAAACAAAATGGCCCAGTAAACTGTTCTTTATAAGATAGGTGTCCTGTTAGCTTAGTTTTGAGAATTATAATTGTTAAGCAAATTCCCCTCAGAGCCATCAGACCTGAGGAACCTCCACACAGAGGTTTACACCAGAGTTTTAGTTGATAGGAAAATACTTTGACTAAGGAAATTAACTGATGCTGTTCTGCTTAACACACAGTAGTATTACCTTTACTTACTAAGATAAGTTGGTAAGATAATTCAGTAATTATATTCAGTAATTTAATCAATGTTGTGTCAATTTTCCCCCATGGTATGGAAAATTTGCAGGCCTAACCCTACCCTTAACACTAACCCTGCGTATTTAAACAAGCTTACCTTGATTCTTTCAGTGCTTGCACTGACCAGGAACCAACAGCTTGCTTTGGTAAAGACAATGTGGTTCCTGTTCTTCATCCTTTGCTTTTATATTTGTAGGCAAATGTGAGACGTTGGTATCAAACATGTCTGCTGCGTCTTGTAAACAAGGAAATGACAAGCTGACGTATGACAACGTTTTGCGGGAATCAGCGATAATAGAATTGCGGAAAATTTTCAGTTGTTGGTCGAAATTGCAAATCACGCTAAATTCACAGGGATTTGTTAAATATGCTTTAATAACTGCGATCGTGAAATCCTGGAGGGACTGTATAATGATAAATAAACTACTTTGATAACTTGATCTGCTGGAACAATTTACCTGTTTCTTAAATAGGAAGAACAACAGCAGTAAAAATGACCAAACTATCAAAAATAAACTCAATAAACTCAGTGACCCCTGTCCAACCTACACCACAGTGGTTTGAAACCCTAGACTCTGTCATTTACAAATTCTACTGGAAACATAAAAAACAAGAATCAGATTAACACTACAGAAACCCAAACACATGGCGGTGTAGCTGTCCATCCATTCAGTATAAAATTCTGCACAGAGTACACTACACTTAAAATGGGATTCACAACATTTGCACTGAGTTCACACTAATTACGACTACTAACATAACGATGATGACTATCAAGGCTATTAGGATGATGAGGACTGTTATTACTACCACTACAAACATATTATTTTATTACTATTTAATTTATTAGTTATTTATCTATCTTCTACTATATTCTTAATTTCTTCACCCCATCCATGATCACTGTTTCCCAAGAGGGGGGAGACTCCTCTCACCAGGCACTGGGGGCCTGTACATGAAAAGCTGATTCTTTCATTTATTTGAACAACTTGTGTAATGTGGTGTATTTCCTGTTGATTTAGGATGTAACACTATAAGTAGTGGTGGTAGTAGTAATAGTGGTAGTCTTCCACTCCCATAAACCATCCTGGTTGAGTGTCTCTGCCCTTCTCTGATTGATCCACATGGTTTATAGTTGTGTCCTTGACATGCTGGTCCTGACAGGCCTGCTGGTGGTGTCTTCCACTGAGGCAGTCCCTGTGGAGCAGTTCCTCAAACTTTCCCAGGAGCAGCACAGGATTCAGCACAGTGGAGAATACACTAACCCCAAGTGGTTTATCCCCAACACGCTCAAGTACTATGTCTTACTGCATGACATGAGTGAGGGTGATGAACAGAGGTACTGAAAGAAACTTCACAATGGTCAGATATAGATTTCTGCAGATCTGCCAGTTTGTAATGTAGAAGATACCATTACACCATCTAAAGTTTTGTAATATTAGCATTACTTTCTTGACATCAGTGTTTGTGCCATTTTTTGTTTTTTGGAAAATAAAAAATTAAGCTCAATTTGCAGCGAACAGTGTGATTCACTGTACTGATAAATTGATTGTTGATAGTTAATTTGGCAAACTTCTTCCGTTTTTTCATTTCCTAATTTTAACTTGAGTATACAATTGAAGTACAAAAGCTGTTTGTTTTTTGATTGGATTTATAAATGAATAATGACATAACATTTTTTTTTTCATTTTCTGATTTTGGATTCCCAGTATGAAAAGAACAAATGATAGACAGACAGATTTAAAATATTATAACACCAAAATAACTACTGTAGTTGAATTTGCATTAAAAAAGTGTCATGCTGTATTTGATCAGTGTTACTCCTTCCTCTCCAGGGCAGATTCGGTATATGAGGATATGAAACAGAGGTATGGTTCTCAAGGCTGCTATCTGTTGAAAATGAACTCTCGTACCTTCTCAGCTGAAGAAGATGAACAGATTCCAGACCCCTGGAGTCAATACCTGCAGAGGAATAATCTGCAAAACCAGGTAAACGCTGTAGCTTCCACCACATGCAGTGACTGACCATGGTCCAAAATCATTCCCTGCGGCAACAGTCATCTTCAACTTTGGAAAAAACGGAAAGCAAAATTGACATGCCTCTGACAAAGGATCACTAAAGAGCGAACAGGGCCATGGGGAAAAGTCAGCCAGTCAAGAAGGTCTGCCAGATTTTGCATGTTATAATCATGTATTTCATCTGATTACAACAAAAGCAAATTCAAATTTGTTTATTTAAAAACACTGGCAAGTAATTCAATTTTATTTATATAGCGCTAATTCACCACGACACTTACCTCATTGCGCTTTTCATATAGAGCAGGTCTAGACTGTACTTTCTGTGCTATTATTTACAGAGACCCAACAATTTCCACCATGAGCAAGCACTAAAAAAAATTCATTTTAAGAGGCAGAAAACTCAAGGTCTGGTTGCATACAAATGGAGAGAAAGAGGAGGAGAGATGAGCTCAGTGCATCATGGGAAGTCCTCCGGCAGTCTAGGCCTATAGCTGCATAACTAAGGGATGGTTCAGGACTCACCTGAGCCAGCCCTAACTACTGTATAAGCTTTATCAAAGAGGAAAGTCTTAAGCCTACTCTTAAATGTGGAGAGGGTGTCTGCCTCCTGAACCCAAACTGGAACCTGGTTCCACAGGACAGGAGCTTGATAGCTGAACGCTCTGGCTCCCAGTCTACTTTTGGAGTCTCTAGGAAGCACAAGTAACCCTGCATTCTGGGAGCACAGTGCTCTGGTGGGGTAGTAAGGTACTATGAGCTCTTTAAGATAAGATGGTGCCTGACCATTAAGAGCTTTGTAGGTGAGAAGAAGGATTTTAAATTCTATTCTGGATTTTATAGGAAGCCAATGCAGAGAAGCTAAGACAGGAGAAATGTGATCTCTTTTCCTGGTTCCTGTCAGAACATGTTCTGCAGCATTCTGCATCAGCTGAAGAGTCTTAATGGACTTTTTTCGAGCAGCCTGATAATAAGGAATTGCAGTAATCCAGCCTAGAAGTAACAAATGCATGGACTAGTTTTTCTGCATCATTTGCACGGGATGCTCCTAATTTTTGCAATATTACGTAGGTGAAAAAAAGGCGGTCCTTGACATTTGCTTAATGTGAGACTTAAACGACATGTCCTGATCAAAGATAACTCCCAGATTCCTCACAGTGGTGCTGGAGGCCAGGGCGATGCCATCCAAGGAAACTATATCTTTGAATAATGCATCACGGAGGTGCTTGGGCCCCAGAACAATAACTTCAGTTTTATCTGAGTTTAGCATTAGAAAATTACAGGTCATCCAGGTTTTAACATCCTGAAGGCACATTTGAAGTTTAGCTAACTGATGACTTTCATCTGGCTTGGTCGATGGATATAACTGAGTATCATCTGCATAACAGTGAAAGTTTATGGACTGTTTCCTGATAATATTGCTTAAAGGAATCATATATATAAAGTGAAGAGGATTGGTCCGAGCACAGATCCTTGTGGAACTCCATGACTAACTTTGGCATGCATGGAGGACTCATTGTTAACATGTACAAACTGAAATCGATCTGATGAATAAGACTTAAACCAGCTTAGAGTGGTTCCTTTAATGCCAATGAAATGTTCCAGTCTCTAGGATCTGATGGTCAATAGTATTGAATGCAGCACTAAGATCTAATAAAACCAGTACAGAGACAAATTCTTTGTCTGATGCAATTAGGAGGTCGTTAGTAATTTTACTGTCTCTGTGCTATGATGAACCCTAAATCCTGACTGAAAATCCTCTAATAAACTATTGATATGATTCCTGCGTCTTTGTTAATTTTGTCTCTAATAATTATTATTTTTTTATTAAAGAAGCTCATGAAGTTGTCACTACTGAGGCTTATCCTAATACTTGGCTCAATAGAGCTGTGACTCTCTGTCAGCCTGGCTACATTGCGGAAAAGACATCTGGGGTTGTGCTTATATTCCTCTATAAATGACGAGTAGTACGATGCTCGGCATCACAGAGGGCCTGCCTATAAGTTTTAAGACTATCTTGCCAGATTAAACAAGATTCTTCCAGATTGGTGGAACGCCATATCTTTTCATATTTCCGCGATGTTTGCTTTAATTTTAAGTGTCTGTGTCATACCACGGAGCTAATCTCTTTGGTTTATTATCTTCTTCTTTTTTTTTTTTTTACAGGGGCAATGAATAAAAAGCCGATGGAATCACTTCCTTAAATTTAGTTACAGCACAAGTAATGCCAGTTTAAGTAACATTTTCTCCCAAAGTCTACAAACTAGCTTCATCTTTTGGGAGGGGGCAGTTGTGATTTAACAGTGATTAACCCAAACATCTGTGATTTCACTGTCAATTAGCAATTGTTCAGTTTGACTCTGTCACATCAGTAATGGCAGGGTCACTAGAAAGCACAACACATGAATCAGTCAGAGAATTCGTCTGACAAAAATTTGCCTTGTGTTAACATTCTGACCGTTATTGCAGGATTTGCTTGATGATGTAGCTCCAACTGTGAACAGTGCTGCTGTTGAGAACAATATCAGTGCAGCTGAAGTGGACAGCCTTCACTCAACAGTGAAAGGTCAGTCAATTCAACAGCTCCTAAATATACTAACGTTCCTCTTGTTTAGACTAGTGTTACTTTTGTCTATTTTTAAAATTTAGTCTTAGCCTTAGTCCTGTGTCAAATGTCCTTGCTAGTTTTTTGTCACATTTAGTCCACTGTATACTATTTTTTTAGTCAAGTTATAGTTGACTAAAAGTCTGGGTATTTTAGTCTGATTTTAGTCAAAAGAAAATCAAAACTGTTTTAGTCTAGTTTTAGTCATTAACCATCATTTTAGTCTTTTCTGACTCATTAGTAATAATAAAAAAAGTAATAATTTTGATTAGCATTTTGGTCAGTCTGCTCTAACCAAAATAGACATATGATTCGAATGTTAGTTCTGTTCTCATTTTTATTGCAAAGGAGACATTCACTTATCTCAATTCCCAGGTGGTTAGCCTTGATATGCCACTTCAAGTTCAAGGTTTTTTTTTCAAAAAATCTTATACCACATCAGAATGTGAACTATACATAGCTTTTGGGGAAGCTCAGTTTTGTGATTCTCACTGCTGAATCATTGTGATTCTGACTGCTGAATCACTAATAGCATGTACACCTGGAGCTGACTGTGAAAGGCATGTTTGTCTTATTATAATAATAATAATAATAATAATTTTTATTATCATATATGGCCGTTCTACTACAATTATGCTTCACACAACAGCTGCGGCTGTGTTTGCGACCTGACCTTTCTTTTCTCCGTGAGAGGGAAGAATTTATGAAGTTGCGTGGTGCTGTGGGGAGCCCCCAGCTGCAGTAGTAGGCCTACATGGATCATGCGTAATATTCATCCAGCCAGGGGGAACGATCACGAACCGTTCACAGCATGTTGGTCATACTAGCAACACAACCTGTACTGGAGAGGGAGTAGGGCGGACCAGGGACAGGAGATCGGAGCGACATGCCCAATGCATACGGTCTGTGATAGTTCCCTCTGGCGCTCTACATGATCCATGATGATAGAGAAATATAGAGATTAATGGCAATAAAGCAAAATGTCTATATTTTAGACCCCAAAATATCCCAAATCATGCTTTTAGGGGAGCTGAGGTCTAAGCTCCTCTTTCTCCCTAGCGTGTTGTGTTTATAACCACAGTTCGCATCCTCCACACTAACGTTTTCCTCACGCAGCAGGCGTTGCTGGCTGACCAGTGTTCAAAGCACAGGAAGAAAGAAATACAGCTGAATGAGCACTGTTCAAGTGAAAATTTAGAAGGAAAAAATATGGCCTGTAATTTTGTCTCATTATACTAACAAAAAGAAAGAGAGATTTTATTTTAACATTTTTATTTTATGAATTACATTTTAGTCTCGTTATTTGTCTGATGAAAGTAACACTAGTTTAGACAACTAATAGCTATCTTTTAAATAATATAACATAACATATAAATGAACATCTGTGACATTCAAGCCCTTGCCAAACAAGTTCATACAATGCTGATTAAGCCTAGACAGGTTATACTCTATACTGTATATTGCAGTAAACCTGAGTTTTTAATTCTGTGTCTGTGGTGACATTCACGCTAATTTTCAAGAGGGTCCAACTGCAGACCTCCTCTGTCAGGCCACTTCCGCTGCAGACCTCCTATGTCAGGCCCCCTCCACTGTCAGGCCAGTCAGGACAGGAAATACACGCAAAAACTATAAAATGCAATTTGACAGGAAACGCATTGAAAAATTATAAAGTTTAATCACGTAGACATAGGGGGAGGGTTTTTGTCATTGATTTTATATTTAATTATTTAGTCAACACTGTAACGGGAAAATAGCAGGCTAATTCCTTAAAAATACATATTGATTTGAGCCTATTCTACTTAGCACTTAATGTGCCAATGTAGCAACAAAGCCGACTATATTGCTTCAATCATTAAATTAGTAAAAATTTAGTCCAAATATGACGTTTACTCCGTCTATACAGCTAGCCACATCCATTCACAGAAAAACATTCTTGTTGATTAAGAGTGTAACTTAGCCTCTCTTCCAGTCATCTTAAAAGAAACACACACACATCATAATTTCCCTTTGAAGAGTAATATACTATGGCATTTTACTGCTATCAGCTGAATTTAATAGGAAAAACGGACAACTGTGGAAACTGGATTACAATTTGAGCTTCGTGGAAGTCTGTAGTATAACGGACGTACCAGGCATGGTTTAATAAATAAATAATAATTCAATTCAATTCAATTCAATTTTATTTATATAGCGCCAAATCACAACAACAGTTATCTCACAGCGCTTTTCATAAAAGAGCAGGTCTAGACCGTACTCTGTGATGATATTTACAGAAGCCCAACAGTTCCCACCAAGAGCAAGCACTAGGCGACAGAGGCAAGGAAAAACTTCCTTTTAAGAGGCAGAAACCTCGAGCAGAACCATGGCTCAGGGTGGGCGGCCATCTGCCTCGACCGGTTGGGGTGAGAGAGAGAGAGAGAGAGAAAGAGAGAGAGAGAGAGAAAGAGAGAGAGAGAGAAAGAGAGAGAGAGAGAGAGGGATGTAAGGAGAGAGAGAGGGGAGGGAGGCAGCCTACACAATATACACACAGAGGTACAGACAGCGAAGGTAATGTTGCTATAAACTAAATGAAAAATGGTACAGATATTTATAATAGTGTTAATGGTAACCATCGTAATGTTAATGATTATAATGACAATAAGACCAGCGACAACAGTCGCTGCAGTAGAGGGTGTCGAGCAGGAACACAGGGGCAGCAGGCGACCCGCAGCCACAGATCCAGACTCCACAGCTCCAGAGCCAGAAAACCTGCAGGAAGTGATAGGAGGAGAGAGGAGAGGGACGAGAAAGCACAAGACTACCAGAAAGGGGAGAAGTTGTGTTAGTAACATGCAATAATGGGATAAGGTTGCATACAGAGGGAGAGAAAGTAGAGGAGAGAGGAGCTCAGTGCATCATGGGAAATCCCCCGGCAGTCTAGGCCTATAGCAGCATAACTAAGGGATGGTTCAGGACTACCTGAGCCAGCCCTAACTATAAGCTTTATCAAAGAGGAAAGTCTTAAGCCTACTCTTAAATGTGGAGATGGTGTCTGCCTCCTGAACCCAAACTGGAACCTGGTTCCACAGGAGAGGAGCTTGATAGCTGAACGCTCTGGCTCCTAGTCTACTTTTGGAGACTCTAGGAACCACAAGTAACCCTGCATTCTGGGAGCGCAGTGCTCTGGTGGGGTAGTAAGGTACTATGAGCTCTTTAAGATAAGATGGTGCCTGACCATTAAGAGCTTTGTAGGTAAGAAGAATGATTTTAAATTCTATTCTGGATTTTACTGGAAGCCAATGCAAAGAAGCTAAAACAGGAGAAATGTGATCTCTTTTCCTGGTTCCTGTCAGAACACGTGCTGCAGCATTCTGGATCAGCTGAAGAGTCTTAATGGACTTTTTCGAGCAGCCTGATAATAAGGAATTGCAGTAATCCAGCCTAGAAGTAACAAATGCATGGACTAGTTTTTCTGCATCATTTTTAGACAGGATGTTCCTGATTTTCGCAATATTACGTAGGTGAAAAAAGGCGGTCCTTGAAATTTGCTTAATGTGAGACTTAAACGACATGTCCTGATCAAAGATAACTCCAAGATTCCTCACAGTGGTGCTGGAGGCCAAGGCGATGCCATCCAGGGAAACTATATCTTTAGATAATGCGTCACGGAGGTGCTTAGGCCCCAGAACAATAACTTCAGTTTTATCTGAGTTTAACATAAGAAAATTACAGCTCATCCAGGTTTTAACATCCTGAAGGCACATTTGAAGTTTAGCTAACTGATGAGTTTCATCTGGCTTGATCGATAGATATAACTGAGTATCATCTGCATAACAATGAAAGCTTATGGAATGTTTCCTGATAATATTGCCTAAAGGAAGCATATATAAAGTGAAGAGGATTGGTCCAAGGACAGATCCTTGAGGAACTCCATGAGTAACTTTGGCGTGCATGGAGGACTCATCGTTAACATGTACAAACTGAAATCGATCTGATAAATAGGACTTAAACCAGCTTAGAGCGGTTCCTTTAATGCCAATGAAATATTCCAGTCTCTGCAATAGGATCTGATGGTCAATGGTATCAAATGCAGCACTAAGATCTAATAAAACCAGTACAGAGACAAGTCCTTTGTCTGATGCAATAAGGAGGTCATTAGTAATTTTCACCAGTGCTGTCTCTGTGCTATGATGAGCTCTAAATCCTGACTGAAAATCCTCAAATAAACTATTGCTCTGTAGAAAGTCACACAGCTGTTTAGCAACTGCTTTCTCCAGAACCTTAGAGAGAAATGGAAGGTTAGATATAGGTCTATAGTTTGATAAAACATCCGGATCAAGTTTGGGCTTTTTCAGAAGAGGTTTAATTACAGCTACTTTAAAGTACTGTGGTACATAGCCTGTTGATAAAGATAGATTGATCATATCTAGTATAGAGGTGCTGACTAAGGGTAAAACATCTTTAAGCAGCCTAGTCGGGATGGGGTCTAAGAGGCAGGTTGATGGTTTAGATGAAGAAATTATTGAAGTTAGTTGGTAAAGATTGAGGGAAGCAAAACAGTCTAAACATGTATCTGGTTCTACAGCTGTTTCTAAGGTTCCTGAGTTTAGAGATAAGTCGGTGCCAGTTGAGGGCAGGTCTTGGTGAATTTTGTCTCTAATAGCTAGAATTTTATCATTAAAGAAGCTCATGAAGTCGTAACTACTGAGAGCTATGGGAATACTTGGCTCAATAGAGCTGTGACTCTCTGTCAGCCTGGCTACAGTGCTGAAAAGAAACCTGGGGTTGTTCCTATTTTCCTCTATTAATGACGAGTAGTACGCTGCTCTGGCATTACGGAGGGCCTTCCTATAAGTTTTAAGACTATCTTGCCAAATTAAACGAGAATTTTCCACTTTGGTGGAACGCCAATTCCTCTCAAGTTTCCGTGATATTTGCTTTAATTTGCGAGTTTCAGTATTATACCATGGAGCTAACCGTCTTTGTTTTAGTATTTTCTTTTTTAGAGGGGCTACAGAGTCGAGTGTCATTCGCAGCGAGCCAGCAGCACTATCAACAAGATGATCGATTTGGGAGGGACTGAAATTAGCATAGGAGTCCTCCGTTACTTTGTGACTAGATAATGTATTTAGAGCTGATGGAATCGCATCCTTAAATTTAGCTATAGCACTATCAGACAGACATCTTGTATAGAAATTTTTGCCCAATGGCGAGTAGTTCAGCAATACAAACTCAAAAGTTATCAAACAGTGGTCGGATAAAGAGGGATTCTGTGGGAACACCACTAAATGTTCAATTTCAATACCATACACCAAAACAAGGTCAAGGGTGTGGTTAAAACAGTGAGTCGGTTCATGAACACTCTGAGAGAAGCCGATGGAATCTAACAAAGAGATAAACGCAGTACTGAAGCTGTCATTCTCAACATCTACATGAATATTAAAATCCCCTACAATAATAACTTTGTCCGTTTTAAGGACTAAAGTTGACAAAAACTCTGCAAATTCAGATAAGAATTCAGAATACGGGCCAGGTGCTCGGTACACTATAACAAAAAGAATTGGTTGCAGTGATTTCCAACTTGGGTGCGAAAGACTAAGAACAAGACTTTCAAATGAGTTATAGTTTAGTTTAGGTTTAGAGCTGATTAATAGGCTAGAGTCGAAGATAGCTGCAACTCCACCTCCTCGGCCTGTGCCTCGAGGAATGTGAGTATTAATATGACTGGGAGGGGTGGATTCATTTAGGCTAACATATTCTCCATCACCCAGCCAGGTTTCAGTAAGACCAAATAAATCAATATCATAATCTGATATTAGTTCATTTACTAGTACACCTTTAGAAGAGAGAGATCTGATGTTTAAGAGTCCACATTTAACTCTCCTATTTGTTTGCACTATTGCTCTTGTGGTTTTAATTTTTATAAGGTTTTTATGCACAGCTCCTCTTCTGTTTACCTTTTTAAATAATTTCGATGGTCGGGGGACAGACACCGTCACTATAGGGTTTTCACTAAGTAACTCCTGAAATGGAGGAGCAGAGAAGTGTGTTAGACTGCGACTCTGCGTAGGGTTTTGGGTGGGTAACTGCTGAAAAAGAAGGGCAGAGAAGTGTGTTAAACTGCGACTCTGCCTCCTGGTCTCAACTCTGGGTTGTCATGGATTTGGTCCACTAATAAACTTGGCCAGATTTCTAGAAATGAGAGCTGCTCCTTCCCAAGTGGGATGGATGCCGTCTCTCCGGATCAGACCAGGTCTTCCCCAGAAAGTCTGCCAATGAAAAAATAGAAACCTGGACAAAGACTTCATTGTTCATTACGTGTTATACACTTTCTCTCACACACAGCAGCCCACTACGTGACCCAGATGTGTGTGATACTGCAACAAAGTTTAAGTTTTAAAAGCCTGAAATAAACCAACAAACACTACTGCTCAAGGAGAGACTGCAAATCCGCCCTTTATGGTATCATATTAATTATTAATCATGTCGTAGTGACATTCATGTGGTGCGCAGCATAGTTCGTTTGGAAAACGTTTATCTTATTAATATAATGTACATTTGTGATTAAAAATAATGGCTGTTGGTAAATGAATTACTGACCCCCACAGATGCATGATATTACTGCTACAAAAAGAGCTCGGACCGTAACTAGAACCCTGCTGGACTATGTGGACTATCAAACTGTACAATCTGTAAAAATGAACACACATGCAATTCAACATGTATACCTGTATCAATGATTTTGTAAATATCCACTTTTTAAAAATGAATGGAGACACAAACATTAGTAGCCTATAATAATAATACTTTTACTTTATTCACTGTACACACACAGATTACACAGTTAGGAGGAGTTAGCAGCAGTGACTGACTTGCATTATCATTTCATTCAAAACATTTTAAATTAAAGCTGCAAGCAGCGTTGGGCGGGCCCTCGTACATGTAGCGCGTCGAGTAGTTAGGCGGCCACGTTGCAGATTCTGGAACTCTGACAGTGTGGCTGGGAATTTACCACCGGCTTCGGACGCTGCACAAACGTGTTAATCACCAGTTCCTGTGTCCCCTTTGGGGCACAACACAGCACTACGACTATAACTGAACATGTAGATGTGTTTGGGGCGGGACTGTAATGAAGCACGTAAAGTTTGGTGCACATGTGAGTATGTACACTGAAGTTACAACTTCCTCTTTCATGGCAAATCATCGATTTTGGACACCACGCCACGGGCATGCCGTTTCACGAAAACTCATCGTTCGTACAACTTTTAATCGTCAATGGCTTTAGATTAGCCAGAGAAAATCTTAAGTCAGTCGGACTAATTCTTTAGGAGAGTGTTTAGGGCATTGCTCCAAGAGGCTTTTTTTTACATCTGAACATGATACCCATGCCACAGAAATTATGTACATGTAAATAAAACGTGCCACCGGGGCTGCATCGTTCCTATTGTCAGTAGGTGGCACTATGACTATGGGTTAATGTTGTCTTGTACATGGGTTAAGGGCAGGACTTTTATCAAACATGTAAAATTTGGTACAGATCTGACCTTGTACAGTCAAGTTACACCAACTTCATGTGTCATGGCGAAGAGTGGGACTTTGCCGCCATGCCACCGCCACGTCATTAACTGAAAGTTTTACATCATTTACATTTACATACATAGGGTTTTCTGGGACAGTTTTGAAGTTGGTATGTCCAACCTGCTAGGAGTAGTACATTACAGCATAAAACGTGTAATTTCCGGTTGCCAGCAGGTGGCGCTATGACATTGAGTGAATATTGGCATATGGATGAGTTCAGGGCGGGACTATTGTTATACTTATCAAATTTGGTGCAGATGTGAGCATGTATACTGAAGTTATAACAACTTCCAGTTTCATGGCAAATCACCAATTTTCGATTACACATCATGGGAAAACTGGTCGACTTGTAGGAATCGTTTGAATAACTTTTAATCGACCAAACCAATGGGTTTGGACTGCACAGCAAAAATTTGAAGTTGATCGGACTAAATCCCTAGGAGTTCGTTAAAATACAAAGTGTGTAAATCGCCAAAAATGACCATTAAATCCAAAATGGCTGACTTCCTGTTGGGTGTCAGGCATCGCTCCAAGAGGCTTTTTTGTACGTCTGGCCATGATAGACGTACCACAGAAATTTCATACACGTAGGTGAAACTTTGTTTGGGGGCAGCTCTGTAGGGGGCGTTAGCGAGCCATTTTGCCACGCCTCTTCCTGTCTCTCGCTCTCTGTTCAGACCCGATTGAACATCTCTGGAGAGATCTGAAAATGGCCGTGCACCGACGCTCTCTGTCCAACCTGATGGAGCTTGAGAGGTCCTGCAAAGAAGAATGGGAGAAACTGCCCAAAAATAGGGGTGCCAAGCTTGTAGCATCATACTCAAAAAGACTTGAAGCTAGTCTTTAGAAGTAATTGGTGCCAAAGGTGCTTCAACAAAGTATTGAGCAACAGCTGTGAATACTTATGTACATGTGCTTTTTCCATTTTTTATTTTTCATAAATTTGCAAAGATTTTGAACAAATTTGTTAAAGGTTGTCATTATGGGCTTTTATTTGTAGAGGAAAATAATGAATTTCATCCATTTTGGAATAAGGCATGTAACATAACAAAATGTGGAAAAAGTGAAGCACTGTTAACAATTTCCGGATGCACATACCATTGCTACCAACACCTTAACAAAGGTTTTTAGCAATTTTTTTGATGTCAGCCATGCAATACTGAAGGATTTTTGATTTGACATGATTGGCATTCAAGATGAGGCAAATGGATGTCCATTACTTTTCTGGCCTTACAACACCAAAACTTGAGTACCCCATGCCACTATATAATCATAGGGTGATTGTTCCAGGAAAGTCTTGGCAACATTGAGTGAAAGCAATGTTTTCTGTCAAATCCCCTGATTCATCTGCACAGGGTTTTTGGTTGCTGTTACAAAGAAAACCTCTCATCAAGTGAGTGCAGACGAAAGGTCATTATGTTGTGAGTGAGATTTATTTTGACACTGTTTCCTACCAGATGGAGTGTCCAACAGCCTGGAAAGCCATCCTCTCCAGCTGGACACAGTAAGCAGCTCGGGGAGCCTGCACACCCTCAGTGCTATCAGCACTGACCTGAAGAAAGGTGCAAGAGATCCAGAGAGCCTGGCTGGAGGAGCAGGGAGCCACGGGGCATGTCTGACCCTGAATGACCACGACCACATCAGACAGTTCATCCAAGAGTTCACCTTCAGAGGCCTACTGCCACACATAGAGAAGAACATCAGGCAGCTCAATGACCAGGTAGAACTACAAGTCTTTACCCTTGACATATTTAAACTGATTTTGATTGTGATAATGGAGATTTTTAAGTGTACTGGGAATTGTGAATGTGTACACTAATATCTAAATGTGCATTAGATTGGTGACAATGGATAAGTGGATAAAAAGCAAAAAAAAAACAAACATGCCTTTGGTGAAGGAGACCTGGGTTCTATTACTTCTGCAATACATCTGCTAATGTGTCCCTGAGCAAGATACTTAACCCTTAGTTGCTCCAGAGGCATGTGACCTCTGACATATAGCAATTGTAAGTGGCTTTGGATAAAAGTACACGTGAATCTGAAGCTTATTGAGGTCATTGAACCTCTACAGACTGATTTTGCAGGATGTACAGACATAGGCTTCAGTCGACACTATTCAAAACTTGTCTAAATTTAAATTTCAGAAAGTTTGGTTTCCTCGTGTTTATTTCTTTTGTTTGCATTGGAACAACACAAAAAAGCAGAGAAAAAAGCCATATTTGAGACATTCCACACAGAACTCCAAAAATGGAAATAGTCACTTTATCCAAAGCCACTTACAATGGCCACTTCCACGGCCAAAGGTGTATAAAAGCAAGCATCTCGGCATGTAGACTGTCTCTTAGGAGCTCAGTGAATTCAAGTGTGGTACCGTGACAGGTTGCCACCTGTGCAATAATTCCATTCGTGAAATTTCCTCACTACTAAATATTCCACGGTCAACTATTAGGGTAATATAACAAAGTGGAAGCGATTGGGAACAACAGAAACTCAGCCACGAAGTGGTAGGTCACATAAAATCACAGAGCGGGGTCAGCGCACGCTGAGGTGCACAGTGCATAGAAGTCGCCAACTTTCTGCGGAGCTACAGACCTCTAAACGTTGTGTGGCCTTCGGATTAGCTCAAGAACAGTGCATAGAGAGCTTTATAGAATGTATTTCCACAGCTGCATCCAAGCCTAGCATCACCAGGTGCACTGCAAAGCGTCAGATGCAGTGGTGTAAAGCACGCCACCACTGGACACCAGAGCAGTGGAGACGTGTTCTCTGGAGTGAAGAGTCACGCTTCTCTGTCTGGTAATCCGATGGAGGAGTCTGGGTTAAGCGGTTGCCAGGAGAACGGTACTTGCCTGACTGCATCGTATCAAGTGTAAAGTTTAGTTGAGGGGGGATTATGGTTTGGGGTTCAGGGCTCAACGTTAAACTTTTTTGCAACTGGCCCCACCGGGCCAGTGGTTTTGAAACTTACTGGACCCAGTTGATCTCCTCAGATGTAGAAGACAAGGTGGACTTGTGAGAAGTGAGAATGGAACCCTCTATTTTTACAGATTATAAGGCTATTATGATTATAGTAAATATGACATCGATTAGAGGTAACTTTAATAAGGACTATTGGAAATGAAATAAAACACTATTAGAAAATAAGGAATTTAAAAATGAAGCCCAAAAGATTATTGACAAATATTGTAGACAAGCAAATTTATTGAACGAGTTTGGAAAATGCTGGGAATTTATGAAATACGAATTTAGAAATTTTGCGTTGTCATTTGGTAAACGGTTTGCTAAAGCAAACAAAGAAAGAGTCCCGGATGATTACAAATATGATAAGATTATTAGAGAAAGTACATTTATCTGGAGAAGAACTGAAAGAACTGTCATCTCTACAACTTGAATTGGACAAAATATATGAAGAAAAGGCCAGAGGTGCCTTTGTCAGATCCAGAAGAAAGTGGCTAGAACAAGGTGAAAAATGCACTAAATACTTTTTTAATCTAGAAAAGAGGAACTATGAACGATCATCACTTTGTAAACTTAGAATCAATAACATAGAATGTCAGGATGAAAGTACAATTTCGCAATATGTAGCCAATTTCTATCAGACATTATATGCTACTGATGAATATAGATTTGTTTTTTAAAGGCACAAGCATGAAAGAAAAAAGCATTATGGTGACAGTTTTAAAGTCACATCAGTCTGTGACCAGAAAATTTGTTTAACAGAGCTACAAAAATGTATTGACTTTCTTAAAGAAAATAAATCTCCTGTGAATGATGGATTGATAAGTGAATTTTATAAAGTCTTTATTAAGACCGTAGCCCCATTTTAGTGTCTGTATTTGAAGAAGCCAAAGAAAAAGGAGCTACCACCTACTCTGCGTCAAGGTCTTATTAACCAAACCAAACCAAAAAAAGATTAATTGGCCTCCAATTCTCAATACTTAATTTGTCTATTAAATAATGATGCCAAGATATATTTGCTTTGACCTTGGATTGGATAATATTATCAATGAAGAACAATTGTGATTCATGCCCGGAAGGAATATATGCAACAACATACGGTTAATTCTGGACATGATTGATTATAATGAATATATAGTGGACAATAGTTTTATTTTATTTGTTGACTTTTATAAAGCATTTGACACAATAAGCCACCAATTTAGTAATTAAATGCTTTGGATTTGGAAACCAATTTCTAAATGCTGCCAAAACACTTTATAAAGGGTGCAAAGCTCAGTTAAGTTAGCACATGGTACGATAACGTACCCCTAGATTTGATATTGGTCGTGGGATAAGACAAGGTTGTCCCCTTAGCCCCTTTCTGTTTTGTTTCAAGGTATAGTGTCCTTAAATAGAGAATTTAAATGATCTCAACTGGCAGATGATACAACTATTTTTCTGTCAAATAAAGAGGAAGTGATCAAAGCAATTAGTTGTATTGAGGATTTTTCTATTGTTTCCGGCTTAAAAATGAACCTGAACAAATCTGTATTATTACCACTTAAAGAATGTGACCAATCAGGAGTAGACAGTATACCTGTAAAGAACACAGTTACATACCTAGGTGTAGTCATAGGTAAGAATGAGAAACTCCATAGTAATCAAAACTTCAACCCTATAATTGAACAAATAAAGAGAAGGTTCAAACATGTGGTTGATGAGAGATCTTTCATTGAACGGTAGAGTTCTACTTTCTAAAGCTGAGGGAATATCCAGATCTGTTTATGTCTCCTTATCATTGGAAATGCCTAGTGTAATATACAAAAAAATTGATGCAATCCTAGTTAATTTCATATGGAGGAATAAATATCATTATTTAAAGATATCTTATGTAACACAAAAAGAAATGGAGGTCTGGAGGTCTTAAGTTTTGAAACTTTAAACAATACTTTGAAAATTAAATGGCTAAATAAGTTAATTCCGGAAGAAGATAATATGTGGAACACCTTCCCTAAAAATATATTTAATTTAATGGGTGGAATTGAATTTGTATTAAAATGTGACTATAAAATTAAAAAATTACCTGTAAAGTTATCAAATTTTCATAAACAAGCTCTGCTGGCCTGGAAGTTAATTTACAAGCATAATTTTTCACCAACTAATTACTGCATTTTGAACAACAAGAATATTCAATATAAAAATAAATTACTATTTTATGAGATATGGGGTGCCAATGGTATTGTATTAGTTAAACAGCTTGTCAGTGCTGAAGGGCAGTTACTAACTTATCAGGAATTCCTCGCTGAATTCAGTTTACCAGTTACGCCAAAAGAATATGCAGTGGTTCCTGATGCTGTGCCAAGGAGGGTGCTGCAACTTCTTAGAGGTTTGGTTAGTGAGGTCTCAAGGATCCAACCATTTAACAGTAGTATATTCCTTGGAGAAATTGACATTACTAAAAATAAATGTTCAAATAAATATATCAGGAACTGCATACAAGGAATAACTCTTTCTCCAGGCAGATTCTTCTGGACTTCACTTTATGGAGAAATTAATTGGCAGAAAATGTGACTTATTGTAGACAAATTCTGTTTTAACAACAAAGTAAAAGAGTTTTCCTTTAAGATATTACATCGTATATGTCCAGTTAAAAAGACGTTTGAGAGATTTAGATTGAATATAGAGTATTCTTGCACTTTCTGTCAATTACATGAAGAAACAATTTGTCAGTTATTTTATCAATGTATATACTGTAGAATGTTTTGGTGGGATGTTGAACTTTATATGAAAAGGAAAACTGGACAAACGTTTCAACTTCAGGAAAAGGACATTTTTATATGTTTTGAAAGAAACGAGAAGGAAAAAGATTGACAGTTGGTAATAGTATTAGGTAGGGGCCAGTTGCAAAAAAGTTTAACGTTGAGCCCTGAACCCCAAACCATAATCCCCCCTCTACTAAACTTTACACTTGACACGATGCAGTCAGGCAAGTACCGTTCTCCTGGCAACCGCTTAACCCAGACTCCTCCATCGGATTACCAGACAGAGAAGCGTGACTCTTCACTCCAGAGAACACGTCTCCACTGCTCTAGTGTCCAGTGGTGGCGTGCTTTACACCACTGCATCAGTATAGCACCACAATTAAAACCATTAAGAACAAGAAGGCAATCAAATCTAACTGTGTGTTGGACAGATGAGATATTACTTTGAATCTCTGTTTTTTATTTAGTTTTTATTTCGCAATGTCCTTCCTTTGTTATTATTTATGTATGTTGTCTTCTTATATAGCAGCCCCTGACTGTTTTGTGCTTTAAATTTCATTAAAATAAAATAATAAATAAGCCTCACTGTTTCTGCACCACAGTCCATTATAAACCAGATAATCCATGACGTTTACAAAGGCATTCTCAGGTGAGGATCAAGGCTCCTTCCTGCTTTGCTTAATTAATTAGATAAGCAATCTGCAAATCTTACCTAAATGTCTTTTTAATTTTTTTAAAATACAACAAAAACACAAAGTAGTATTGACAGCCATAATTTCAGCTAGAGGTAAAACTACAACATTTTTAATGGGCATTTAGCATGTGAAAGTATAAATTACACATTTGTGTGCACAGTGGCGAAGCAATATCCAATAATGCAAATTCGGAAAGTATTCATTATTTGTCACTTGATAGACACATGGTCTTGTTATATATCAGCATTAGCAGTAAAAGAAAAACATGTTTTCCACCAGGGCAGTAAAATGTGAAGTTTAGCTGCTGATCTATCAGCTGTTTGACTCAGGAAGGTATGGGCACATTTCTGTCTACATAACAAAGTCATAACATAGCACTGGAGAAGAACTACATGAATTTACAATCCAACTACATATTTTTACTACCAGGGCAGTAAAATTTTAGCTGGCTGATCTGTCCTTAGATGCTGGAAGCTGCCTTTGATTGCCAATTAGTGATTGTCTCACGAACGTAACAAAACCAAAACAGAGTGCTGGAGAGAGAGAGTAATTACATGAAACTAATCCAAAAATGTTTTTTTTTCTACCAGGGCAGTAAATGTTTAGTTGGCTGATGCTTCCATACTCTAAGCTAACTCTACGGTTTTATTGCCAATTAATGTTACTGATCAGCTGATTGTCTTGCTAACGTCACTGGCAAAGCCAACCCACATGCTAGAGCATAAGTAGGCGACATGAAATTAATCCAACAACATATTTTACACCACTGACATGGGAAACACCTCACGTCTCTGGGTAATTATGGCCAGCTTCAAGCTAAAGCTATCAAACAGCAGCTTTCATTTGCATCGCTAAAGTCTGACAAACTTAAGTTAATTAACTGTCCAGCAGAAAACAGACAACTTCAGCACAGCTTTGACATGCGGCCCACATTATATCCTTCCATCTGGGAAAATCCACATCCGTGAGTTCTGCCGTCACCTGTCTGTATCTGTCCCGACTCCGTCTGGCTTCATGGTATAAAGATCCACAGGGTGTCGGCTCTTGTGCTAAATAACACGAGTGCTCGTTCATTGTCAGTTATTTAGACAGAAATGGCTCATTCTAAGGTAATAAAAACATAATGGTTCATTATGTAAGGTCTTTATACACCACTGAAAACATAGTTATGGATCTTATATTTACAGTGACTCCGAGGGCTCAGTGAGGAATATTTTTTTGAGGACTACGAATTTTTTTTTCAGGACTACTTTACTTTTACATCCCCTCGCAATATGTTTTGCGATACTTTTGCATCCCCTCGCAATATTTTTGCATTCCCTCGCAATACTTTTCTTCTTCTGTTAGCCTACTTCCGAGCCATAGCTGTGTATGCTCAGCTGCTCTCAGCGCAACACTCCAGCTTATTGAATTTTACTTTGAACGGAGCATTTCCCATGTTGATATAGTAGCCTACTACTGCTCAATAGGCATATTTATGTAGGCTTTAATCAAAAAGGACCAGGCACCACGGCAGGTGATCGTTCCAGAGGAGAGGGAAGACAGCCGGGATAGAGCCATGCTGGCCCATCTTGGACGTAAGGCTGCTCCCAGTAAATGTCTGGTCTGGAGGACATGGGACTCATGCTGCCAAACATCGGGAAATCAAAGACTGTTAGGCCATTTTTACACAGACCAGTCCCATCAATGTCCTGGAGCATGACAAGACAAAGCCTTTCGAGTAGCAGACCTTGTTACAGACAATGGAAATAAGCCGTTTGGCTTTATCGTGTTTTTATCCTTTTGAGGTTTTTTTGTAGTTGGGGCATCTCTTGCTAGATGTGCCACTTTTATATTAACAATCAATAAAAAAGTTCAATCAATAGTAACACACTCACAAATCTGAAAATGCACATATGGATTGAGACACAGTTGCAGACACAGACACATGATCTGCCTCTCTGTCCACAGCTGGTCTCCAGGAAAGGTCTGAGCCGGTCTCTGTTCACTGCAACCAAGAAGTGGTTTGGTGGAGGGAAAGTTCCAGAGAAGAGCATCAGTGAACCAAAGAGCACTTTTGGCCTTCTGTAAGCTCCCTGGCACCACACCATCATCATTTCATATGACACTTCATGAGGGTCCCCATACATTTATACACCATATTATACCTTAGACACTGTATACATTGCTGGTTTGATCTTTTACATCTCTGATGTCAGATATCCCCCAGAAGCCCCTGAGCTACAGATCAGGAAGATGGCTGACCTGTGCTTCCTGGTTCAGCACTACGAGCTGGCCTACAGCTGTTACCATACTGCCAAGAAAGACTTCCTGTCAGACCAGGCCATGCTGTATGCTGCAGGGGCACTGGTGAGTATACACACATTCTCATACACATACTTGTCCTTATGTGAACCATATGTTTATGGCATAAATTCCTCAGCCCAAATCTTAAAGCTGCATTAAAGAAGCCTGTTCTGAAGCAGGTCTTTCTAACAGGAAGTTTAACTTCAAGATGAACATTTCTGACTGCAATGGTCACACTGATTTTATTTTTTTTTGCTGTGTGTGAAGTATAGATGAAACGATTACCGATTTAACGCTAAACCATGGTAAAATTTCCAATTATTATTACCATACGCATTTTAATTACCATGGTACGGTTAACCGCGCTATTAAAATCTCACGGCAAACACTGTACAGCGCCCAGAAGCAGGCGCGCATGCGCAGAATGCAGCGTGATTTTGTTTGGGTCAATGACAACACGGTGGAAGACAACGCTACGGAGATTTCACTCTGGAGTCTGGTCGTATTTTAGTTTTTATGAGAGCGCTGAGGGAAACTTGATAAAAGAAAATGACCTTATAGTGAACCTTGACCTTGACCTTAGAGTGAGTTAACTTTTAGCTTTGGTTTGTCTGTCTGACATGCTAACAGCGTGTAAACTGAAGCTCTGTGTTGCTGCTGTTGTAAAAACGCTACACGTTCTGTTGCAGTGTGCGTCGACAGAGTCTATTCGTCCCATGTCCTCCAGACCAGACATTTACTCGTCGTTTAGTCAACCAACCAGCATATCTAGAAACGCTACAGACTCCTCTGTATTTATGTCAGTTTTTGGGCTCATTACAGTTACTGTCACTTTCATCTTCTAAAGACTTATTTGTTTTCATGTAATTGTCCACGGGATCATTGTATTACCTATATAATATAAAATCTTGATAATGCACACTTTGATTTTCATATGTTTACAAAAGGTATTTGCTGTTATTTTATTTTTTGTGCAAACAAAATGGCAATTGTATTTGTAGTTTTCAATATAAAATTTGTTGAAATGGTTTCAGTGTGTGTATCAGTACATTTTAATCTTTTTCGGCACACTTTTACAATACCGTGATAATACTGATAAACGTGATAATTTTGGTCACTATAATCGTGATATAAAATTTTCATACCATTTCATCCTTAGTGTGAGCTTGTAATCTCCAGTCAAATCAGGTTGCGCCGAGGTTTTGCTTAAAGTTCAACTCTGGTAAACTTTGGCACGCAAATTTCACAGAGAGAAGCAGAGAGTCCAGGATATAGGAAGTTAGTTGTGTCGCACCATTCAATTTAATAGAACCCTGCTCTGCTAAGTACAAGTATAAACTGCTCCACTAACATGATGGAGCATGGCCGGCAGTCAGACAGAAGTGGATACAATACATTCCTTTAATTGATTTTGTTAAGTTACATTGCGGTTAGTGACAGAAAGCACAGTAGTCACCATGTCCCCAAACTTCCATCTCGACTTGTTTTGCAAGGATGCCCCTGCAGCACAACAGCAGCAGCTGCAGTTCTCAGTCAGTGTCTACATTTGATCCATTCAGTACTACTGTGTGCTGTGCATTTTAACTGCGCTCTTGGCTTAATACACAATCAGTATCTCACAAAAGTGAGTACACCCCTCACATTTGTTTAAATATTTGATTATGTCTTTTCATGTGACAACACTGAAGAAATTACACTTTGCTACAATGTAAAGTAGTGAGTGTACAGCTTGTATAACAGTTTGCTGTCCCCTCTAAATAACACATCACACAGCCATTGATAAACCGCTGGCAACAAAAGTGAGTGCAACCCTTAAGTGAAAAAAGGGGTGTACTCACTTTTGTGAGATACTGTAGCTACATCTGTACATATGAAGAAAACTGACATGTAAGCTAAAAAAGGCACAGGTTGCAGTGTCTTTAATGTTGTTTTCAGTTTCAGTATTACAATTAAAAGTGTTTTACTCATATCACTGGGGGAATGCACTGCCATAGTTTAGCCAAACTTGTAGTCATAGTGTAACAGTAGCACACTAGAAAGCAGTCATAAAGTTTCACAGTAATATCTAGCAGTAGAAAACATAAACACCATAAGCTTCTGCTCATTCCTAACCCGATAAGGCTTGAACAGAAAATCCCATTCGTTTTTTCAATTTAATTATATTTATACAGCACCAATTCATAACAATAATTATTTCTTTGCACTTTCCATAGAGAGCAGGTCTAGACCGTATTATTTCTTATATCATTTACAGACACAACAATTCCCACCATGAGCAAGCACGTGGTAACACAGGCAAGGAAATACTCCCTTTTAACAGGTATATCCCCAAGAAGAACCGTGACTCACTTCTGTAATAATATAGAGTGGGCAGCCATCTACCTTGACTGGTAATGAGAAGGTGGGGGGGTGGAGCAATGACAACACACAGTACCACAATGCAAATTCCACATAAAGATGTAAAGTCATAGATAGTGTTAATAATATAAATACAAGTTAATATTACTAAAAGCCAGTGGTGTAGTCTACGTGAAACGCAGGTATACACCGTATACCTACTAGGAACGGTCAAAGATTTCCGTATACCCGCTTAAAATAGCGAGATGATACGTAACAATTTCGTTTTGTGATACGTTCATTCATAAATTCACCCCCTCTGTGTTGTGAAGCACTAAACTGACGTTTGGGACTTCTGTTGCCTGTGATCTGACGTCACCTACCAAACAACATCACAGTTACGTGGCACTCGGTGCAAATTTGAAGTAAACTAATATGAATCACTAAAGGAGATGTGAAACACGAGCAAACTCAAGCCACACTCTTTTAGTGTTTTCGTAAGCCTGCAGCTGAATCTGCTGCCGTTCCGGGTGACCGGCTGCAACAGATGACACGAACGTTATCGTTACTGAAACTACAGAAAACGAGCCAGATGAGGCTGATGCTATCGTAACGTTAGCTGGTGAGTGAAAGTAGCATATACGCTATCATTAATGCTATCATTATTGGAACTGTAGCAGCATTGTTGGTATAATGCACTGGTCGGCAATAGGCGGCCCGCGGGCCAGATATTATTGCTGGCCGGCCAGTTCTGGCCCGCGGGCCGCCTATTGCCGACCAGTTTGGTGAGTTTTCAATGTTTAGGCCACCAAAATTGAGGTTACTTTGCAGAAAAAAAGAAAAATTAAAGCTGCAAGAATGTGTTGGACGGGCACTCGCACGTGTGGCGGCCAGATTGCTTTGATAGCAGAAAAATAAAAAATAAATACATTGGTAGGGGCTGATGCTGAAATAGATCTCAGTCATGACAGCAACACTTACTCACATAATAACTTCCTCTTAAGTGATTGTGCGTACAAAATAAAAGCGCGAGAACGTTTTTTGCAGCAATGCTTCATGTTGAGTTTATTGAGAGCATTGAGAGTTCTGAAGGACATTCGAAAGAGTCTCTGGCGTACTTGACACACCTCTGTAAAAGCCGTCAGTAAACATGTGATTGGATTCCCCTGAATTACCTCAGGGAAAGCGTCCATAGGTTTATGAATACGGATCAAACGCCGGGACGCACACGCACTGCAGCACGTGCTTTGTTGCGAGAATGTGAAAAAGTATCCAAAAGGCCGATCGATTTGTTTAACAAGGTAGAAAAAAAAGTCAGCCGGAATTTGGGATCGATCATTCAACATGAGCCCTGCACTCTACCGACTGAGCTAAACGTGTGCATGAGTATCCAAGGGTTTGAAAAAATTTGGCCCGATGTCAGACTTATTTGCCGACCCCTGGTATAATGTATTGCATCTAGAACTAGTTAACTTAACTAACGTTAATTTGGTGGATCAATGAATGCGGGACTGTGTGTGTTTGGTAGAAGTAGAAGTTTCTGGATGCTTGCTCATGCATTTAAGCTGATACAGTAGGCTACATAACCTTAGTTTGACGATGATTTTGGAAGATAAGTGTGCTTGAGATGATGTGGACCACTGATTGTGTCCTTACTGTTAATAGTATTCTGTAATGTATGAGTTTTGGTGATAGAACTGCACATAGGCTTATGTTCAGATGTAACTGCTACTGATAAGCCTCAGCTTTCCAGTATTGTTAATTTATAGTTGCAACTATGGTGACCAGACTTCCTGAAAAATTCGGGACAGTCCTGAATTACGAGCAGTTGTCCTGACTCCTGTCCAGTTGGTCCCGAAAATTAGACTTAACATGAGTTTTGATTATAGCCTAATTAATCATAAAATACTGATCGATGTGTAGTTCTCTTGCTCCAGCAGGGGTTACAAGTGATCTGTACATTGTGTCAACAGCGTTGTTATAGCCACAAAGTAACACTCGTGCTCTTTCCCCCCTTTTCTTTTCTTGTGGTTAGTGGAAATAAAGCTGATGATACACAGAGCAACTTTTAGAGCAATCGTGCAGGGCAACGTTGCCGTCAATTGTAATGAGTAAAGATTACTACCGTAATCTCCTCTCCCCACCACTCAGCCACCCGCCCCGCACCGCCGCTATCCATTCAAAACATAGTCGGACTTGCCATTAGCAAGACTGCCCAGCAACATTGCTCAAAAAGATGCCCCGTGTATCATCAGCTTTACAGTCGCGAAGACAGGGAAAGTGTAGCTTCATGCAGCCATGGCGGAGAGATCTTCAATTAAATTTTATTTATATAGCGCCAAATCACAACAACAGTTATCTCATAGCACTCATAAAAGAGCCGGTCTCGACCGTACGATATATATAAATTCAACATGCACCGTTGCACAGACAGATGTGACACTGCACTGATGAAATTAATAAAATAAAAATAATAATTAGGTAAAAGATAATCATCTACCCACTGTGACATATCCACAGTTGTATTTTTCCAGGTGACTTCATGAACAAAAATAATTAATTTTAGCATTGTGTTTTGATTTTCACGTGTGTTAATGTTCATTGTCACTCAATGTACCGGTAGCCACGCTACCCGAATTTCACCCATTCTCATCTGGTCACTGTAGTTGCAACTAACATTCTTAAATGTGCATTGAAAATTGCGGGCTGATAAAACCTGTGCTCCAGGGACCAGATTCATATAACATCTAAAGCTCCACTAGACATTAGAAAATCAGTCAGTTCTCCCCATCTGCAAAGGTGTCATTTACACTGGGAATGCTGGGGACACTTTTTGAAAGCATTTCTTAAAAATGTTATGAAAAATAGCTTGCAACAAAAAATGTGAAATAACAAATGTAAGTGCTATGAGAAAGTTTTTCACAATAACAAGAATACAGAAAAAAAACAGATCTGCATGGTCCCAAAAAAATACTCTTTGCAGTGTTGAAAACACATAGCCTAAGCAGTCCTTCAGAATGCTCTCTGTTACATATACATGCATACTGTTTGTGAGTGTGTTGAGTATGAGGCTGGGAGGTATACTCACAGTACACTCACTACAAAAAACTAGACAACACCACTGCTAAAAGCGATATCAATAATAATGATAATATAAAGGACTATAAAAATAATCATAGCAGCGGGTGTCGAGCAGGAACAGGGAGCATCATGCGTCCCGCAACCACAGATCCAGACTCTGCTTCTTATCAATGCAGTGTTTCAGTTGTAAGAAGAATAATGTGTTTTGTCTTCTTCCAAAAATCACATAATCTCACTTTAGCTCCTGAATGTTAAATCATAATCATGGCGTTTAATTTTCCTCAGTCCTTCTATTCTCTCTGTCTTCCTTTCGTGATTGCTCCATCTGTCCTCATGTTCCATCTTTTAATCCTGCCACCTTCTATAGGAAATGGCTGCAGTGTCAGCCTTTCTGCAGGCTGGAGCTCCCAGACCATATCCAGCACACTACATGGACACCGCAATACAGACGTACAGAGATGTCTGCAAGTATGACCTAATTACATAATTATTTCCTGCCTGCTGTTTCAATTTAAATAACAGGTTATTGTGCTATTTCAGTGTCACTTAGAGACACACCTAAGTGAATGGGTTTTTTTTTGTGCACCCTAATGAAATTTTCAGTTGCTTAGTATGTCTGTTTTCATTATTTTGGAGTGTACCTTTATTTTGTCTCCGGATGTGTTATCCAGGAATGCATTTAAAACTTGTTTTGTTACCTTTGACTGCAGGTTTTTTCCTGGCTCACAAAGGAAGTTTGGTGGTATCCAGAGTGTGTTTCAGTGCTCACCACTGTGAGCCAAGGCCTTTCTCATTTTTCAAACTCTTTGGTTGTCAAGTGCATCTATGTTTATTCTCAAGGGTTTGGTTTCATAAGTCGAATCTGATTATAAAACTATCAAACACTCGATAAAAAAAGCCAAAATATATGCTGTTTCTGAATTTTACCAGATCAGGTGGTCCTTTGCAAATACCACTTCCGGACTTGGTTCAGAGGTGGCAACTAGTGTCCTTAAAGCAGCAGTAGGAATTTTTTTTTAAATGACTTTTTATCAAATTTGAAACTGAAACTATATCCTGACAGCAGTACATGAGACAGATAATCTGTGCAAAAAAATCAGGTTCCTCTGCCTCTTCCTACTGCTCCTAATGCCATTTGCAAAAATCCACCACTCCCTGAACAAAACCGCTGCCTCTGAATCCTTAGGAGCTCTGCCCTGGGCGGCCAGTCACTGGAGGTGCGTCTTTGAGAAGACAAGTCAAAGCGAGAGGGGCCGGGTTCTTAGCGAGGCTCTCGCTGTGGAGAGTGAGACCTAGCTGGGATGAGTTTTCCAGGCTCTTTATTTTGGGTTTGGTAGGTGGGGCTTAGCAGAGTGATACGACCTGCAGAAAATGACCTGGAAGGTTTTGCAGTGAATGTTCTAGGCTCTATCTGGTATTTCACTCACATAAGTCATTGATGATCTGCACTTTGTACTGTATGGCCCCTCACATGAGACCAGTTTAACTTAAGGGGCTCTTGCTCCAAATGCTCATGAAGCTTTTAAACCCCTCTTCACCAGTTTTCATTTTGAGGACACAACATTACAATGTTTTAAATAAATTAGCATATTCCCCTTTTCAGTAATTCCTTTTCTATCTGTGGCAATTGTCAGTGTCTGTGATCTTGATCCAGCACGTAAACATTTTTTCTCCTGACTTCCCTCAACAGGAACATGGTGCTGGCTGAGCGCTGTGCTTTACTTAATACTGAGATACTCAAGAGTCAGGGCAAATACTCAGAGGCTGCATCTCTCCTCATTAAGATGACCAGCGAGGTGAGGAAACCCACATAATTTGAATTATGTCTGGACCAGATGTACTGCAAAGTTTTTTCCACTTTGATGAAAATAGGGATGCATGTACACCATACTCAGGTAGTTCCCATATATACACTTGTGTTTACTTGTGTGATAAATTTATAATTTTCTATTATGTACTGCATTGGCTCTTTCATAGTGATGTCCAAATGATAATTTTTATACCTTTTCTTTTTTACAGTGGACACAAATGATCCCACAATGCAATGTATAAAGTTTTGTAAAACTGATTTTAAAAAAAAAGTTAAATACAGGCTACAACAAAAGAACACATTTAAATCATTTTATTAGGCCGATTGAAGAAGAACATGTAGTAGGCTATAAAAAAAGTTAAAAGTGATAACGTGTTGTTTTAGTCCCGCTACCGGCAATAGCGCTCATCCCGTGTGTTCTCCTTGAACGCCAGTCCGTCTAGTATATTCCCATATTCTGCTCTGGACCTGCTCAGTTCAGTTTCTCAGTCTGGACTCGGTACGGTTCCAACCTGCTCTGCACAGCAGCCACCAACTTGGTTTGGCACACACCTAGTCTTCTGCTTTTCCCTGGCTCAATCTCCTGTCCATTCAACCCCGCAGTAAATATTCCTCTTTTATCTAACTCCTCATTCTCTTAGTCCTGCACTATGGTCTACTAGCCTAGACATAACACAGTTAAAAAACAAAGTTTTGGTAATAATAACTTGCTGTTTTAATTACTGTCTCTCTCACTCTCTCTCTCTCTCTCACACACACACACAGACATTAAAGAGCCGCCATTATCTCTCCCCCATCGGATTCTCCCTCATTCATGTCATTGCCAGAACCTCTTGGGTGTTTATCCTTGTTTTGCTGTTCTGCTTATATTTATCAAATATGTAGCTGTCGCTTGTGACAGCCAGCTTATCCACAGATGTTTAAACAGTTGGACCCCTGTTAATTACTATCGAAGCTTCGAAGCACATTTCGGGCCAGTGCTAACTTCCACACGAGAGTAATGACCTGAGTTCATTTACAGTTCTGAATCCAGAAGCCTAAGGAGTTACTCCCTTAACTGTGTTTTTATATCATTCATAGAAGCAGAATTATAAGTAAGTAAAATTGTACAGGATTATTCTGCTTGGATCTTTATTTTACTGTTTTTGTCCAGGACTCCGACCTGCGCAGTGCTCTGCTGCTGGAACAGGCTGCTCATTGCTTTAATAATATGCGTAACCCTATGGTGCGCAAGTTTGCCTTCCATATGATCCTGGCTGGTCATCGTTTCAGCAAAGCAGGACAGGTGAGCTGTTTAGCAATCATTGATCCTTGTGGTCTAACTTGACACTGGTGCCGAGGATCTCTAAACAAGTTTATATGCGGTGATATGCCTGTCTATGACACAGTGGTTGTCCCCATTTGGATTTAGAGTCTGCCTCCTACCACCTTCCAAGTCACTCTGTTATGTTTCTCCACACTATTTGATTGAGTTACTGTTAGCTTCCTTTCATTTTGTGCTCCTCATTGGTTGCCTTGTGTACCTCACAACCTCTTTTTTTTTTTTTTGTCCTGCCACTTGTCGTCCCTACTGGCTCTGCGTGTAGAGGAGGCATGCACTTCGATGTTACTGCCAAGCCATGCAGGTGTATAAGGAAAGGGGCTGGTCTTTAGCAGAGGACCATATCAACTTCACAATTGGTCGACAGTCCTTCACACTTCGCCAACCAGAGAATGCTATAATAGCCTTCAGACAGATCCTGACCAATGACAGCAGGCAGACGGCCACACAGCAGGGCGCCTTTCTCAGAGAGTATCTCTATGTCTACAAGGTAACTACAGTTTGTGACCATGTCTCTATGCCAAATATGCTACTTTTTATTACAGGAGACTGTAGTAAAGTAAAAGTGCCCACATCCATCCATCCATCCATCCATCGTCAACCGCTTATCCTGCATATAGTGGGGGCTGGAGCCTGTCCCAGCTTACATCGGGCAAAAGGTGGGGTACACCCTGGACAGGACCCCAGTCCATCGCAGGAAGTGCCCACATGCATAGATAAAAAACAAAAAGCAAAACATCATACCCTAATAATTATGTAGACCAGACACAGACATACATAACAGTATCACCAAGTGACTGAAGCCATATACAGTCACTGAGTAAGTGCTTAGGAAGTACACACAACAGAGAGAATAGGTTCAGAGGTAAAACACAGGTTGACACTTAAATAATGGAGTTGTGTGTGTGTTTTTCAGAGTGTGACAGGGGGAAATGAAGTCAGCCTCCCCCAGCTGCCTCTGCCCTACATCCACAGCTCAGCCACAAGGGTCTACTTTGGACATGAACGCTGCCTTGCAGAAGGTAACACACTGTTTAGTAATTTGTGATCTCATTCAAGCTTGACTGAAAGAGTGGGGCTTAGTCCTCGTCACCCGTGACCATTTGTTTGGGTACTTGCTCAAGGTTTTTCATGCATCACACAAGCATAAACACCACTTAGAGTCCCAGCTGTAAGGGTTCATTTTAAGCCCCTTTTAGACATGCGCCCCTTTATGTTAATTTGATGATGCTCTCTAATAATTTAAAAAAATGAAAATGATATGGACTGTATTCATGGTTTCACTTTGATAAGTAGGGGCAAGTGTCCCTCACACTCAAGATGTTCATCATTTAAGGCTTCAACGCAAAATAAGTCCATCAGTGATGCAGCCTGCGAAAAAACAAACTTTCTTGCTTTCTTAACATTTTTAACTTATCTCTCTCTCTAATGTCTTTTTTCCCCCTTTAGTTTTTATTGATGTTTTCAACCTTTATAAACATATTAAAACCAACAATCTTGCATACAGACAAACAAGTCTAAATTCAAAATGAAATAAAACAAACGTATTTGCCAGTTCCCAGTGTAAATTTCGCCAAACAAAAACATGGCTGACCGTAACAAACTTGATATTTCTTTGCCAAGTCTGCACTCCTTTGAATCGTCAGCATGGCCCTTGTTAATTAAAAAGATGTCCATTGTAATGAAAATGAGTGATACATACATGTTAACTGTGTTCCCGTCTAGCTATATCCAACGGTAGTCTGCAAAAGTCAGTAAATGGTTAATATATTTAAACATAAAAGTAAAATACAGTAAAATATTTTCTCTGTTTTCCACAATGCCTTTGGCTGTTTTTAAGGAAAGACTTTATTATTTACATTAAATATAAAAACTAATTATCTGTTTTTCACTTAATTTATGTCTGATGTGCGTAGGGGAAAAGCAGGCAGCAACTCATGTGTCCCTAGACCAGGAATATGACCAGGATTTGGCAGCTGTGTGGTGCCACCTAGAGGAGCAGCTTGTGGCTGCCGCCAATCATGGGGCCATCCCTGTAAACTTCCAGCCCACCCAGTGCTGCCTGAACAGCCAGACAGACAACTTGCGCCACCCACTAGCTGTAGTAGAGGGTAAGAGGACATCAGCAGGCACAGTGAAACTTTATTTTAATGGTACCTAGGCTATTATTTAGAAATACTCTGGAACTATGTACTAGGTATTTTGGTGTTCCGACATATTGTTTTAAAGAGGTGGTATTATGCTCATTTTCAGGTTCAAAATCCTATTTAGGGGTTGTACCAGAACAGGTTTATATGGTTAAATAACAGAAAAACACCATATTTTTTTCATACTGCACATTGCTGTAGCTCCTCTTTTCACCCTGTGTTAAAGGCTTCGTTTAAGCTATGGAGTGATTCATCTTGTCTCTAAATGATCTTTTTTGGGAGTTGCACATGCGCAGTTCCTAATTAAAGACTAATAGCCAATCAGAAGTAGAGAAGGGTGGGTCAGCGAGAAGCCCGTAAGCAGCTTACATTCAGCTGGAGGCTACATGTTGCCGACCAGCTTGGCAACACAGACTGGAGCAAGAGTTTCAGAGTGGTGAGTTATTAATCTGTAACAAAAGTATTTTTCATCCATAAAGTTTTAACTGAGCTCTGTCTCTACATCACAGTAACAACTTCATGTCCACTGACTGCCTGGAGGGTAGCTAGTGTTTGGAAGCGAGAGGACGTGTGTGCTGCAGCTCAGAGTTTTTCCACTGTGTTTTTGATGGCGTGTCAGACTAATGCTTGGCGAGTGTTATAGGAGGCGCATTTAGCTCAGGGATGAAAGGGAAACAGCTGGACTGCAAACAAGCTGTTTCAGGCAGTTCAGAGCAGAGTTTTCTGTGGGAGATGGGAAGTCCCTTTGGGCTGGACTTCGGGCTTTTTCGCTTTGCAAACCTATTACCACAAAAAAGGTGTAGAACTCAATAAAGGAGAGGGAAAAAGCATAAACCACCTCTTTAAGAATGCTTGTCATAGTATAAAAAATATGCCACCCCATCACTATCTAATCAAATTGAACTGAATTGTGCCTGCTCAGTATACCCTCTTTCTGTCTTTGTCCTGCAGAGCCAATCATAGTGGAGGTGATGTTTAGGAACCCTCTGAAGGTTTCTCTGGCTCTGTCCAACCTCTCACTCCTCTGGAGGTTCACTGCCGATGGTGTGTCTCCATTGAAGGAGAAGACCACTGAAGAGTTGGCAGGAGAGGCCATCACCAATGAGGAGACCATGACTCCAGGGGTGGGCGGAGTAGACAGATTTCCTCTTAAAGATTGTGCTTTTTATTCAGCTATGATGGATAGATGCAACAAAAACCCAAACTACGATTTTCATGATCTCTTCTTTTTGTCATGGTGTCTTCAATATCTGTTTACTTTTGCAGATGACACAGAAAGATGATATTGTCACCACTGAGGTAATCCTGGAGTTTCATATGGGTCCAGAGGAGACCAAAATGGTAAGGTGCTCACTTGACTCTCTGAAGGTAAAGTGTGGGGTGTTTGACCAATCAGAATCAGCTATATTATTGGTCTAGTCGGTGTACACATAAAAAGAATGTGACTCCGGTTCTTCGTTGGTCTCAATGTACTTACACAGGAATACTGTAGAAATACAGCTAAAAACTGCTAAGTGTAAAGCGAGTATGTGCTACAATGAGCTGTCTCTAGTATCGCCAATCCCTCCTGGAGGGGTATCTCTCCAGGAGGGGTTGGCGATACTATAGACAGCTAGATTTTGAAAGTACCCAACTGAAAAGAATGCTTAATTTTTTTAAATTATTATGCATGCATGACAAAACTATTGATCTGTTCTATACGAACATTAAGGAGAGCTTCTTTTCAAGGATGAAGACAAAATTAAAATTGCTCAAAGAGCTAAAAACAATCAGACAGGGCAACTAAAAACATAGGGTAAGGTGGAGGGACAGATGTCAATTAGAAATACTCGGGTCCCTCTGGGATGGTATGAAATCCATTACTGGCTATGGAACCAGTAATAGGAGCCCCCTCAGCTCTGGGATTAATGTTGATGAAGCAAATCATTTCTTTGCTAGGTTTCATTACCTTGACTTTTCTGCTGCTCACAAGAGCATTCTTTCATCTCTGGCATCATGTGGTCAGGAGGTCAGTAGCCCAGCTATCTTCTATTCTATTCTTCTATTCTATTAATTTTGACGCCGTCCGACAGCTGCTGAAACTTCTCAAACATAATAAAGCAGCCAGACTGGATCCCCGCACCCTGAAAGTCTGTGCCGACCAGTTGTGTTCAGTACTTCATCTTCTCATTGTCATCATCAAAAATTCCAGTGATATGGAAAACTTCTTGCCTTGTACCAATTCCCAAAAAAAGTAATGTGTCCTGTTGTGACGTTATTAACTTTCACCCCATAGCGCTTACTTTGCATATCATGAAATCCTAGGTCACTTGTCTAAACAAGTGTCGGCCTTTCAAGATCCTTTGCATTTTGCATATAGGAGGGGTAAAGGAGTTAACGACACTCTCATTTTTATGCTGCATAGCTTTTATAGTAATCTTGAATCAATGGCCAGTTCACTTTTCATGATTATGTTTTTTGATTTTTCTAGTGCTTTTAACACTCTTCAACCACACATTTTAGCCCAAAAATTAATTTATTTTAAATTACACAACACCACTACTCCTGGGATTTTAGATAAGCTCCTGTTACATCCCATCACAAAACAGGAGCACCACAGGGCACAGTTTTATCCCCTTTTTTATTCACCCTCTACACCGCTGATTACGGGCATATTAAGGTGTATTGCCACTTTCAGAAATTTTCTGATGACACTGCCCTTGTTGGTCTTCTTAATAGAGTTGATGACCAGGCCTGTAATAATGAAGTTGCCTCTTTTGTGAATTGGAGTCAAACTTTTTACAACTAAATGTTGGTAAAACAAAGCTGCATTATTGATTATAGGAGGAAGGAGTAGGTTCTTCCTGTGATCATCATAGATCAGCAAATCGAATTTGTCTCAACATATGAATATCTTGGTGTTTGCCTTGATAGCAAATTAGGCCCAGTCATGGCTGTTTTTCCTAAGGAAATGAAGATCCTTTGATGTGAGCAGAATTTGCTTTATACTTTTATCAAGGCACTATAGCCAGTGTTCTTTTTGTTGTGGAGGCAGCATTACTAGTGATGATAAAAATAGGATCAATAAGTTGATTTAAAAAAGCTGGCTTTGTGATTGGCCTTACCCCTAATTCAGTGGAGGTCATCTTATGAAAGAGAACGAATGCCAAACTAAAGAATATCATGGATCTTGTAGGCCATCCACTCCACATTGTCCTTAAGACACTTAGTTGTTCCTTTTTAGTGGCCAACTGAAGATGTTACGGTTTTCTACTGAACCGCCATCCATGCAGATATTATTCTTACTCTGTTTTCCCATGATAACAGGGTAATTATCTTGAGATCTCGAGATAACTAATGTTGTTTTTCCGTGATAACGCAGTAATTTCCTCGGGAACTCAAATAACAAAACAGTAGTTTAACACATGGCTCGGAAGGAACGTTTGTCAGTGATAATTTCAAAGGGGTTTTCAGTGTCACTGGTTAGCTCAGTTGGTAGAGCACAAGACTAACTCTCAAACGGTTGCGTGTTCAATCCTCACAGAAGACCATTTTATTTCCTTTACCTTTTTATAATCCTCTTCCACAAAGATTTTACGAGACTCTTTCACATGCTCACAATAAAGCACATGCTAGACTGTGTGCGTTCTAGGGATTGTCCACATCCATCAACCTATGGAATTTTACCATCATTCCCAGGCAGAGGATATTCCTGCACCTCTCATTCAGGGGAATCTACGTATTTAACGTTACACATTTCCTGATGGCTCTTTCAGAATATTTTACGTTTGGAAATGTATGATTGGATTCCCCTGACTGTCTTCATAACAACTTTGTTGAAGAGGTGATGAGGATGATAAGAAACAAAAATTAATTAGAGGGGAAGTCGAACACGCAATCCTTGGATTACGAGTTCTGTGCTCTACCAACTGAGCTAGCCAGTGATACTAGAAATTTTTCTGAAATTATCCTAAAGAAACGCACCTGCCGCCCACTGTATTCTATGTCAGAGCCTTTGATTTATTGATTTCTGTCAAGATGTAAGGAGAATTTCAACAAATGCTTCTAAAATTAACTGCCTACCCTCAGCTTTAGGATCCATAAGTTTTGTCTTATGGATTTAGTGGCACAAGTGGAGCAGGGATCATCAGCCTGATGAAGTATCAAATCCCCAGCAACAACTGGCTAGAATGGTTGAAAACATAATCCTCAATTGCTTGTTAAACAATCATGTCAAATAAGCTGGTATGCTGTTCAATAAAACTGTCTGGCCATGTCTGAAAATTTCCGACTTTAGCGACTTACAGACTCCATACGTTTTCATGCATTCAAGGAACTAGGTCACTCACAGGATCACTTTATAGGGGAAATTGGACTATGTTTGTGTGCACAGTAGTAACATGGTGTAGCTGCTACTGTAGTTGCCCTGCACAGAGTTCCATCATAAATTTTCCTGTACAGACCAGCTTCTGGCTTCCTGGCTTGCTTGCCTGCCCTGTCCTCTTCCGTAGCGTCTTCAATATAAACAATATTTCTCATACAGTCCCACAGCCCCTTCAGCCCCCCACAGCAGTTCTTGAATGCTTGTGTGTCACAGGCAGGCTGGCAGATGCCTTAGGTCCATCACACTACCGCATTTAGATGGAGAGTGTAATTAGTTAATGAACAGCTGCAACAATTTGCTCTCCCAGGCTTTGCTCCCCCACCTCTCCCGTCTGCAGCTGCCAACCATGCCCACCTCCACGCATGGTTACTGTAAATTTTGCATTTAGATGCAGCAGGTCAGCAGTATTATCCATGTCTGAACTCTATCGGTACATGCTCACTTTTAAAAAGTCACATAGAATCCAGAGTACATAGTACCTGGCCAACAATTCCGCTTTCTCCAGAAGAAATCTAGCAGGGGAATCAGGCTTCTCGAATTCCTTCCCCAGTTAGAAAATTAGGTTTCTTGTATATACAAAGGTTAGGAAATTTGGTTAATGCAGAAAGTAGACAGTAAAACTGGTTACTCCTGAGCGCACATCTGTGTGTGGTGTGTGTGTCTGTGTGTTGTCTGTTTGTGCTGTGTGCGTGCACCCCAGATGCTCATATATCTGCTTACATCTGGAATAGAAATGCATAAAGAGCAACTCTTGGAAATCTCCAGCAAGTAATTATCAGAACTGGACATTCTTTGGCTCCTAAGATACATAAGATACATCAGGCTGAACAAAAATGTAGTTATGTTGCTGCTAACGGTCCCTGTGACATTTGATCTCAGGCTCGGCTCAGGCTGCTGCCACAAGAACTGGCCAGCTGAACATTGTGGGTGTAGTGTACAACCTGGCTGCAGCCTCCTCTGGACAGATGGCTCCCAGCACTGAGGGTGAGGCATACAGATGTGTCTGCTGATATTTGCTTTTATTGTCGGTTGCTTTAGTATCAGTTCATACTCATTTCTGTGTCAGTAGATGCTGTATGTCGTAATTTAATTTGTAATTTCTTTGTAATTTTTCTTCCTGAAGGGATAGTTCAGGTTTTTTTAAGTGGTATTATATGAGGTACTTATCCACAGTCAGTGAATTACCTGCAGTAGGTGGCGGCTGGCGGGTCCTGAGTTTGGAGAAAGAAAGAGTTAAGTAGAGAAGCTAAGCAATGTACTGCTGTGGACAGGGTTGGCAGCAAAACGTATTTTAGCCCCCTAAAAGAAGGCTCACTAAAACAATGACATTATATTTAGAATATATTGAGCTCTAATCCTTGCTATCAGACAGCACTTTCCTTTGGAACTACATTTTCTTCAGTTCTCCAACGCATAAGCGCAACTTAGCTGCATGCTGTATAAAGGAAATAGGTGTTTGATGGCAAGGTACAGTGCTAAAATATATTCTAAATATAGTGAACGTATATTTTTTTCCGGTGCTGACCTGTCCACAGCTGTACATTGCTTAGCTTCCATGCCAGTACAACTCTCTTCTTCTCCAAATTGGGACATGCTAACTGCTATTTACTGACTGTTGATAAGTGTCTAATACAGCCCCACTTCAAAAAACCCAAACCATCCCTTTAATGGAATTACTGTCTTAGGATCAAGAACAATGTGAAAGGAACTGTTACTTTTTCAACTATCTTTTTGTCAGGTACAATTTTTTAGAGAAAATATTTATGAAAGAAAACAAAAATCCCAGTGATGGACCATTCGGGAGGTTTTGTGCTTTACTGCCGCAATAAAAGTGTGGATTTCCTCTGGTCCACAGGCCAGCAGACTTTTGATCTGATGGTGGTTCGGGGCAGACAGGACTTAAAGATCCAGGGCCCAAGACTCAACCAGACCAAAGAGGACAAGATGTTGGTTCGACATGGTCCTGATCGACGCCTGGATCCCATCATAACACCACCCATGCCCCTAATGGAGGTACGATTGACTACTGACTGTAGAGACACTCATCCTGCAATGCCAAATCTAGAGACTATGGAACAGATTTTTATTGCCTCAAACACAGTCTGAATGATTTAATGTTGAGTATGTGCTGATACTGTCATTAAATGCAATTTACTTCTGACATTTCCCTACATAAAACAACTGCATAATAAGGCATGCAATTTCACTTTCAATATTTCTGACTGCTGATTAGCTCTCCATCAAGAAAATGAAGCATTCATCTCAGCTGTCCTTGTTATGGTGTCTCTCATAGGTACAGTTCAGTGGTGGGGATTTCTGTGAGACGGGCAAACTCAGAAAAGGAATAACAATGGTGTGATAGTTATTCCAAAACATTTGATTCCGCTGCTATTCAAATGCACCAGAGACTTTTACAATTAGGCTGCTCAACATATGTAATAGAAGGCATTAAACATTTTCCTGGGAAATGAAAAGGAGGTGAAGTGGCACAAGATGACTCAAATAAAGATGCACAAAATAAACAAGCCAAAATCACATCATCATAAAGCTAACCATCTCCTGGCTCTAGCTTCATATTTACCACTGGGATGAGAGTGGTATCATCTTCTCATCGAACTCGGGGCAAGAAAGCAAATTAACATATTTCCCATGATGTCGAACTATTCATTTAACTGCAGTTTTTCTTTAATTAATGTAAATTCAAATACCGAGCTGCCATATCATCAGCTACTTACGTTAAGCTATTGAAACTACAACTACGTGTCACAAACACAAATCACTGCCTGTGCAGCATTTCTACTTTGAAAAGAGTTTAATGTCAGTCAGAAATGTAGTGAGCCACTGCCTCAGGCTGAATAGCAGCATGAGGTAAAGTAAAGTAAAAAGCAGTGCTTTACAATAAAAGACAAAGCCGTAGCCATAGTAGTAAAACAAACAAAACAAATCTTCTTTGACACTATAAATAGAAAATGCTAAAATAAATAAAAAGGTTATGCAGTTATGCCAATGCTGCCTGTTTGTCAACGTGTGTGTGTGTGTGTGTGTGTGTGTGTGTGTGTGTGTGTGTGTGTGTGTGTGTGTGTGTGTAAATCAGGTCTTCTTCTTGCAGTTTCCCACTGCTCTGCTGTGTGGTGAGATCAGGAAGGCCTATGTTGAGTTCTGTAATGTCAGCAGTGTTGCTTTGTGCGGACTTCGAGTGGCATCCACACACCCTGATTTCTTCACTTTTGGTAGCCATGCCACAACACCCCTCACACCGACCTCAGCTGAAAACTGCTCGGCCTATAAAACCTTAGCCACACACCCCCAGCCAGGCTCAGTGGCATCTGAGATTTTGGTTTCAGCTGAGGACTTCAGCCAGCCGTCCAGTGTGATGGAGATCCCAATACATGGCAGCACGCTGCAACCGGGGGAGTCCACCCAGCTGCCTCTCTGGCTCAGAGGACCAGACCAGGAGGGAGTCCATGAAATCAACTTCTTGTTCTACTATGAAAGCACGGAGAAAGGAATCAAAATCAGGTAAACATTTAGGTAATCTGAAGAGAGTTGAATTGGCTTGAAGGCATGCATTATGTTGTAAAGATACAAACTACTAATTTTAGCATCAACATTAGCAGCCTGTATCAAAAAGGAAAAACTCATATACAAACCCCATTTCCAGAGTTGGGATATTTTCCAAAATACAATAAAAACAAAAAACTGGGATTTGTTAATTCATGTGAACCTTTATTTAACTGACAAAAGTATAAAGAAAAGATTTTCAGTAGTTTTACTGATCAGTGTAATTGTGTTTTTTTGGAAATATAAACAAAGTTAGAATTTCATGCCTGCAACAGACTCAACAAAAGTTGGGACAGAGTCAAAATAAGTGCACAAACAATAGTAAAGTATACAGAAGTAATTCAAGTAACACCTGTTTGGAAGAATCCACAACAAGCAGTCTAATTAGTAACTGATGAGGTGTCATGATTGGATAAAAATAGCTTCCAACAAAGTCTTTGCAAGTAAGGATTGGTCATGGCTCACCTCTATGTGCCAAAATTGAGAAAATTGTTGGTCAGTTCAAAGGGAACATTTCACAACGCAGGGTTGCAGAGGAGTTAGATCTTTCTCAGCCGTACATAATATTGTAAAAAGATTCAGGAATTTAGAGACATCTCAGTATGTGAAGGACAAGGTAAGAAACCACTGCTGAAGTGCGTGACCTTTAAGCCGTCACAACACTGCCTAAGAAAGTGTCATGCTTCTGTGACAAATATAGCCACATGGGCTCGGCTGTACTTTGGAAATCCGTTGTCATTTAACACAGTCTGCCGCTGCCGCTCCAGAAATGCAACCTGAGGCTGTATTACGCTAGGAGGAAGCCAAACATCAATTGTATGCAGAATCGCTGGCGGGATGTCCCCTTGATGGACTGAAAAACAGTGGAAACCATGTGCTGTGGTCAGATAAGTCCACATTTCAGCTTGTTTTCAGGAAAAATGGACGTCGAGTTCTCTGTGCCGAAGATAAGAGACCATCCAGATTGTTATCAGCAAAAGGTGCAAAAGCTAGCATCTGTGATGGTATGGGGGTGCATCAGTGCCCACAGCACTTGTGAGCTGCATGTGTGTGAAGGTACCACTGACTCAGAGGCATATATTCGGATTTTAGAGAGACATATGTTGCCATCCGGGGACATCTATGCTTATTTCTGGATTTCATTGCTAGGCCTCATTCTATCCAGGCTATAGCAGCGTGGCTTTGTAGACACAGAGTGCATGTCTAGACAAATCTGACTGGCCTGCCACCAGTCCAGATTTGTCTCCTGTTGAATGCCTGTTCACCCTGCTGCCTTCTGGGAAGAGAGATAGAAGTTTCCGCTGCCATACCACCAGACTGCAGAGCAGCTTTTTCCTCCAAGCTATCAGACTCTTAAACTCTAAGGGTGCTTCTCAAGTCTCTTATTTATCGTTTCCTCGCTCCTCGCTTGAACCGGAAGTTGCTCCTCTCCACCAACTTGCAGGCCGTCCCAAAGCTCTTATTCGTGCTCCAAGGATCGAGGAGCAATGAGCGAGGACACACCAGTGCATCCTTCTCGGAAGTCTTTTACTAATCGACACGCCCCGTATTGGGTGGCCGTTAAATTCATTTGAAATTGAAGCTGCAGTTGATCGGAATGATCTGATAAATCATGACCGATAACATTAAACTCAAGTGCACTCAGTGCACTTAGAGTTCATTGTAGGTCTGAACAAAAAGCCCCACACACAACTTTCTTCATTTATTAGAAAGTTTTCTTTCTTTTATTTCTCCCATCAACTTTACTATGGAGACAGTTAAAGTCAGAGAGTCTGGCTGTCGGTCTGTCCGTAAGAAACATGTTTTACAGAATGTATGGTCATTTCTATTCAGTCACATGTGAGGCTGGTCCTGTGTTTTAAACACATGTCTAAGGAGTCGGACAAGTCACTAAACTGCACTAAATTCTCTAATGAAGCAAGCAAAGGGAAAGAAAGCCTGCACATCCAGCCATCTCACCTACTGCTGAAAGTAGCCGGCGGCTCCGCAAGTAAAATCAGCTGATGAAAGAATGAATGAAAGCTGCTTAGCAAAAAAAAACGTTGGATTGATATGATGGAACGCAGTGATCGATGTGACTTGCAAATAAAATGTATGCAGTAAAGCATATCAGAAGAGGAAATAAATGGAAATCCTAAAACTGAGCCCTGACTTTATTATGAGTTACATCATTTCAATTTCCCTGACACATTTAGACTAATGAATCCACCAAGACAACATGATTATATTCTGGGTTATTCAATAACAAATTCACAATCAGAATCATTAAATATAAATGCAGATAATACCTGCATTGTGCCAGTAGAAATGGTCCTGTGCCCACCCCCCGATGTCATCGTCCACCCCAGTGTTTAATTGTAAACATCAAACATGGTAAACACATTTTCACAGATAACTCTTCCTCCTCTCTCTTCATATGAAGTCATCGGGTGTTGCGTCACAGTGTTTATCTGTGCCAGTCGCTCTCTGAGTGTGCAGGCGGTGGCCTGCCGCAGCAGTGTTCCTCCACATCAAAGTCAGGATGACAAAGGCAGCGGTGGAACACTGGTCTTTATTGATGTGGAGAACATTAATACGGTGAGATACACAGCATGCCACACTCCTCCAGTACATACTTAAAGTGTGCAGCTTTTGCTTTTTTCCATCTGAACAACCTATCTGCCCAAACTTTGTTTTAATCTGCATTCTCTTCCCAGAGTGAAGCTGGGTGCGTGAGTTCCACATCATCCAGGTGTCCAGCAGCAGTCAGCACTGGCGCCTCCACAAGTGTATCAACCCAGCCAAGGATAAAGGTGTGTATGGCACACTGAGTCGTCTTTGCTTCATTTCCTATGGTCTATTTTTAATCTATCCTTTTTGTGTGTGGTGGGTGTGTGTGTGGGTGGATGTGTGTGTACACAGCTGTATGTAGCGTGAGTGGTGAGCACAGCTGAACTCTCCATTTTAACAGAACCTTTCATTATATATAAATGATAAAAACAGCCAGGTGAACAATGAGCTGCAGTTTATACTGAATATTGCTCTTCCCCAGTTCAATATCCGATTGCTTAAACCCTGCAATAAATATTTCTCTTTTATTGCTGGGTCTACTAGCCTAGATGTAACAAAGTAACAATAACTTGCTTCAGTTGACCTACGCTATGAGAATAAAGACAGAGCGCTCTCTCTTTTTCTCTCACTCACACACACAAAAACAGGCAATGGCTTACACACAAATCACCATTATCCCTCCCCCATTGGATTCTCCCTCACTCATGTCATTGCCAGGAATTCTTGGGTATTTATCCTTTTGCTGTTCTGCTTTGATCTATTAAATACGTAGCTGTAGCTCGTGAAATGACAGCCTGCTTATCAACAGATGTTTAAACAATTGGCATAACACAAATGCTGCCTTCTTACCTTGTCCTTCACATGACTTACATCTGCACGAGACCTCGTTAAAGCAGTATTATGCAGTGCACCTGAATGGAGCAGCAATGAAAAACAGATGTAAAACTGATAAAGCAGACTTTGCGCAAATCAACTTTGCCCAGCTGATGAGACACCGGCATACACAATGACAGTAATCAAGTCACTCTCGCGCAGAGCTGGAAGGCCCCACCTCACTCTCATGTCAAGGTTGATAGCGAATGATAATGTGCAGCCACAACTCAGTAGAATAGATGTGGAATCATCAGCCAGTACAAGCACAGTTTATCCACATCCAGCCTCACACAGTACTAGCACAGACCCAGGTGAAACACGAGCAGCCTTAGCCAGTACGAGCACAACCAGAGATGTACAGCCAGCTACAGATACAAGCAGCCCAGACACTAATGGAACTAATCATGGTCAATAATAAATTGCAGATGGATTAGGCAGACTGCCTTGATTAGTTAACGGTTTAAAACAAGACAGTAATGTGAAATCAGCACAAATGTCTTGGTTCCCGGTTTTCAGGTTGAGTTATAAATCAAGGCAAAGCCAGATCACTCCTACAATTAATATTATCCACAGCAAGACACAAGACATACTCACATGTGCCATTTGTGAAAAATCTTAAAACCTATCTAAAAAGAGATTTAGATGATATCAGGTAAACAAATAGGTCTGTGGCACGCTTGTTGTATGACTTTTTTGTTCTCAACATTGCAAGATAGTATTTTGAAAATTGTCACTATACTCAGTTTAAAGAATGTTCAGTGTGTATTTTCATGTAGAACCAGTAGATGTTAATTAAACTATTTTCTATTAATTAAATCTTAATTGGACAGCTTTGGTTTGCTCTGAAGTGTTTTCTAGTTTTAAATGGGCCATTTTTTTATTTTGACCATACACATTTAATACATCCATATACATATTTTAAAAAGTTCCAATCTGGTGTTTGGTGTGTTTTACATTTGTAATTGATGTGTCTTATGGTCTTAATTGCAGTTCATAAATATTAAAATACATAGGTAGTTTATGTAAGACATGCGTAACAGTTAATACAAGTCTGCATCATCAGTACAATGTATTTATGATAACAACTGCATAAAATTATTAATTTTATTTAGTGTCAACCAGATGAAGTACGTATCATCAAGTATACTATTTTATTCTAACTGTACACAAAATAGCACAGTTCAACAACTACAGTAATAGATTTCCCTCCCCCCAGGGTAAAAGTAAGAGCACCATAAAACGTAAAGCTGATACTCGCACATTAGTTTTTATTATGGGTAAGTAAATGGATACTCCAGCCAGTATTAGACGACCAATAATTTTGCTGAAGCCAGATTCCACAAACTTTGAAGTGTTGTGATGTTAATACAGCGTATCATTAGCCAACACTCAGATACAGACGGTCAGTTTCAGGTTGCCATGGTAATTGATTACGTCCAACTATTAACCCCACCCCCATTAATTGTTTGAGAAAGAACGTTAACCAAAAATGTCAGTGTAAACTGCCTGTAGGAAGGCCGCAGAATTTTGTGGGGAAGGACCCCCAGACCCTCCTCTTCACTTGTGTCCCCTCCAACCAATGCTCTGGACTTTCAAGAAAATTACTCCATAATTCTCTACAATGCAAGAAAACAGTATATATTTGGCAAACGGTGTGGCTAATCAGCATTGTATGGAAATGACTCAGAAAAATATGAAAAATCATAGAAACGTCAAAATACACTGGAGGAAGGCTTTAAGCATTAAAGACTTAATTTTCACCAGAATGCAAGGAAATGATCTATATAAAGGGAAACACAATATTCTGGTGGCAGGTGACACTTCAAAATATAACAAATGTATTGAATATAAAACAGTAAGGCTTTCAAGCATTCTGTAGCCATTACTTTTATAGAAAATATAAAATATATTGCTTTTATATAACAAAAAAGCAATATAATATGATAATTTCTAATTAATTAACTAAATGCTGAGGCAGCACATGATTTAGTCTTCCTCCTCTTTTTGTCTTTGGTGAATTAACCTCTTTAAATGTGCATGTGGCACCTTTTCACCTCAATGACAAATGAATTCATACTAATTCAGTTATAAACTCCTGGCCTTTAATAGCTCCTGTTTCAGCAGGTTTTCTGCTCATGCTCAAGGCTTTCTGCACATTCAGAATCTCTCCCACATACCTGTTCTTGGATGTGTCCAGAAAAAAGTTGCCTCTCAACTCAAAGTAACACTTATCTATTATTACTTTTGGAACTTTTAGCCATATCTCATGACCTTCATGAATAAATGGAACTGGCTAATGTGTCATCGAACCTTGGTGATGTGATTACCAGAGGTTGTGTATCTAAATGTATACTTAGCAATAGGCCATTCCAGTGTTACTGCTACATGCACTTAAGAAAAATGGCACTATGTCATTCTATCTATACAGAGCTTACGCCTGATATTTTTCCCAAGACAAACCTGTTTGATGTTAGTATTAGTCACAGCTTCTCTCTCTCTCTGCCCTCTCCCTGTCCAGACTGTAAACTCACCAGCAGAGAAAGAGCCAAGCTGTGTTTCAGGGCCACACGATGCAGGCCCCACCAAGGTAATTCATACTGTTAAAACAAACACATGATTGTGCTTTGGTTAGATTTTATTAAGCACTAATTTGGCTGTGTTTTGTCTCTTGTTTACAGATACCTCGGATGCCGTGGAAAAATACACCTTTGCAGACCTGAATCTGGGAAATGAACGGGTAAAGTGAAATTCAATTCAATTTATTTATATAGTGCCAAATCACAACAACAGTCACATAGTGCTTTTCATAAAAGAGCAGGTCTCGACCGTACTCTGATAATATTTACAGAAACCCAACAATTCCCACCAAGAACAAGCACTAGGTGTCAGAGGCAAGGAAAAACTTCCTTTTAAAAGGCAGAAAGGGTGGGCGGATATCTGCCTCGACTGGGGGTGAAGGAGAGAGGAAGAGACAGCCAAAGAGGGAGAGTGGGATGGAGGGGTAGGTGGGGAGCAGCCTACACACAGAAGTACAGACCGTAAAGGTGACGTTGGTACAGACTGAATCAATAATGGTACAGATATTTATAATAATGTTTATGATAATAATCGTAATGTTAATGATAATAACAATAGGACTAGTAACAATAATTGCAACAGAAGGTGTCGAGCATGAACACGGGGGCAGCAGCTGACTCGGTTTAAGAGGCAGGTTGATGGTTGGATGAAGAAATTATTGAAGTTAGTTGATAAAGATCGAGGGAAGCAAAGCAGGCTAAATAAATATCAGGTTTTATAGCTGTTTCCAAAGATCTTGAATTTAGTGATAAGTCGGTGCCAGTTGAGGGCAGGTCCTGGTGAACATTCCCGGCTCAGTCGGATAAAATCTGACCCACCTTTCTAGCTCTGTACCTTTAATGCAGCGCAGCGAGCCGGCGTATTGGCATAATAATCCTGGAAAATAAGGCAGTGTGGATACCTCGGTGTGTGTACTTTGTCAGACTAAATTAAAGCTATAATTAACTACCTTCTCTGTAGCGCAATTATGTATTCAGTGTTGGAACTGACTGTGAAACAAATCTCCCTTGGAACAGTAAAGTCAAAAAAAAAGATCAAGTCAAAAGATTCACATGATAAAGCAGTGGCATATGGGGCATGACTAATAATATTACTACTTAATGCAACTTTATCAGTAATTTTTGTCTGTGTGGCTGGTGTTATAAAATCTGGGGCAGTGCACTGACTGTAGGGGAAAGTTAGTTAAGGGAAGTCAACAACCTGGCATTCCTTGGTCATGTATTTTCTGCTCTCTTTGTCTACCCAAATCGGGTACTATTTTCCTCACCTTGCTACTGTCTCTATGCAGATAATCAGTTCTTCCACACCCTGTGGAGATTTCTTCTTCCGTGGTTGTCGGACCTCAGAGTCTCAGCGAGTATATGTGGCATCATCCAGGACATCCTCCAGCAGCAAGACTCTCATCAATGAGGACAGAGACTCTGACATCACCCACATTGTCAAGAAATGTAATGAGCTGGACCTCAACATAATCGTCATCTGGAAGGTACTCAACAGAGCCAGATCTTAACCAGCTCCATGACATAGTGTCAGGCTTAGAGAAGCTCGATAAGTCAGAGAGCCTGATTATGTTGGACTCCCTTTGATATAGTTGTTGTGATATAGACCATGGACAAGACATAACCTTTAGATCTAACCAAAAACTATGAAGGTATTATTGGAGCAAAACAATTGAGTACCTGTGGCAGTGGAATTTGTAGTTAGAGAAAATAGTCACATGTGTATCAGTAAATTTGAAGTTACAGAAAAATAGTTTAGGAGTTGCAAACTTGTAGAAGAGTTTTCCTCTCCCACTAATACAATAGTTACAGTGGGTACGGAAAGTATTCAGACCCCTTTAAATTTTTCACTCTTTGTTTCATTGCAGCCATTTTCCAAAATTATATTTCTCAGTAATGTACACTCAGCACCCCATCTTGACAGGAAAAAACAGAAATGTAGAAATCTTTGCAAATTTATTAAAAAAGAAAAACTGAAATATCACATGGTCATAAGTATTCAGACCCTTTGCCGTGACACATATTAACTCAGGTGCTGTCTGTTTCTTCTGATCATCCTTGAGATGGTTCTACACCTTCATTTGAGTCCAGCTGTGTTTGATTATACTGATTGGACTTGATTAGGAAAGCCACACACCTGTCTATATAAGACCTTACAGCTCACAGTGCATGTCAGAGCAAATGAGAATCATGAGGTCAAAGGAACTGCCTGAAGAGCTCAGAGACAGAATTGTGGCAAGGCACAGATCTGGCCAAGGTTACAAAAAAATTTCTGCTGCACTTGAAAGAAGAACCCAAAGGTCACTGTGGCTGAGTTTCAGAGATGCAGTCAGGAGATGGGAGAAAGTTGTAGTAAGTCAACCATCACTGCAGCAATCCACCAGTCGGGGCTTTATGGCAGAGTGGCCCGACGGAAACCTCTCCTCAGTGCAAGACGCATGAAAAGCATGGAGTTTGCTAAAAAAAAACACTGAAGGACTCCAAGATGGTGATAAATAAGATCCTCTGGTCTGATGAGACCAAGATAGAACTTTTTGGCCTTAATTCTAAGCGGTATGTGTGGAGAAAACCAGGCACTGCTCATCACCTGTCCAATACAGTCTCAACAGTGAAGCATGGTGGTGGCAGCATCATGCTGTGGGGGGTTTTTCAGCTGCAGGGACAGGACGACGGTTGGTTGCAATCGAGGGAAAGATGAATGCGGCCAAGTACAGGGATATCCTGGACGAAAACCTTTTCCAGAGTGCTCTGGACCTCAGACTGGGCCGAAGGTTTACCTTCCAACAAGACAATGACCCTAAGCACACGCTAAAATAACGAAGGAGTGGCTTCACAACAACTCCGTGGCTGTTCTGAATGGCCCAGCCAGAGCCCTGACTTAAACCCAATTGAGCATCTCTGGAGAGACCTGAAAATGGCTGTCCACCAACGTTTACCATCCAACCTGACAGAACTGGAGAGGATCTGCAAGGAGGAATGGCAGAGGATACCCAAATCCAGATGTGAAAAACCTGTTGCATCTTTCCCAAAACGACTCATGGCTGTATTAGATCAAAAGGGTGCTTCTACTAAATACTGAGCAAAGGGTCTGAATACTTATGACCATGTGATATTTCAGTTTTTCTTTTTTAATAAATTTGCAAAAATTTCTACATTTCTGTTTTTTTCTGTCAAGATGGGGTGCTGAGTGTACATTACTGAGAAATAAAATGAACTTTTTGATTTTTGGAAAATGGCTGCAATGAAACAAAGAGTGAAAAATTTAAAGGGGTCTGAATACTTTCCGTACCCACTGTAAATTCTTCATTCTAGGCACAAATTATTTTTTAGAAACACAAATGAAGAAACTCATATGCTTACATTTTTGCTACAGCTGCTGCAGAAGTCATGGAAAAAATGTGCACAGGCAAAAATCAGTATGTGAATTCATGCCATGAGAGTCGTACGCCTGTAGAATAATTTCTCACAAAATAAATGTCTTGGATATTTTACTAGCACAAACACTTGAATCTGGTTCTACTGGTTTCAAATGCTTTTTTTCCGTCTTAAGTTCCGCACGCTCTCACTTTTGCGCCATTTAAATCAGTGAAATGTGGCACAAAAGTGATTTGTACCTGTAGAGCCAGGGATGGGCACTGTGAGAGATCAGAGAACCCTTTTGGCAAATCAGTGCAAATCCAACCCAGCAGTTTGGAAAACATGATTTGATGCACTGAATTTCATAAGTGTCAAGTAATGGTAACCGTTCATTTTGAAGGACTGTGAGATACCAGTTCGTATCAAGTATTGGAAAAACTCCAGTTTGTGATGTGTCTGTCTGTGTAGGCCTATGTGGTTGAGGACAACAAACAGCTGATCCTTGAGGGCCAACTCCATGTGGCGCTGCAGACCATTGGCAAAGAGGCCAGTTCTCTGACTGCCAGAGAGGTACGGTATGCACACACTACACTTTCTGTAACTCAGTGAACATGCTTTAATGGTTTATCTAAAATCCAAAACATGCTCCAAGTTCTACATAATATGTATTTTCCCTAAAATACAAACAAAGAAACAAACAAAAAAAACAAGTTGAAAACAATAAAGTAGGCCATCAGAAAGATGTGTGGGATCCACAGTGGACAACAGACATTGATAAAATAAAAAAAGAAGGTTCACTTCAGTCTTCCAAATAAATCAAAATGAGTATCATTACTCAATTCAGTTCAATTTTATTATATAGCGCCAAATCACAACAACAGTTATCTCAAGGCGCTTTTCATAAAAGCTAGACCGACTGTGCTATTATTTACTAGGGCTGAACGATTAATTGCATTTGCGATATTATTGCGATATGATAAAACGCGATTTTCTAATCGCAAAGGTTGCAATTACTCACATGACACGCAAGAGTAAACCCGTCTGCAGGGGAAGCATCAACTTCGTACGTTACGATTTATCTTGACTTGTTGTACAGTGGTGTTAAGCTTGACAGAAGCTGGCACTACAGAAACTTAAGAGTCACACAGGGAATGAAATTGGCCCCACCACCTGCGGGTAACATGGTGGTGTGGTGGTTTAATTCGTCAGGTCATACTGCTTTGACGGAAAGAAAAAATACATAACAGAAATAAGGTGTATAAGGTAAGAAATTGAGGCAATTGGCGCCTTCATCACACACACACACAGTCAGTAAGGAAATATCTATGTATGGCGTTTCAAAACCAAACTCACAAGTCCGAAAGAGGCGCAGTCTGTTCCGAGTTATAGCCAGTGCTTACCAGAATCGGAGGCTGGGAGGGTGGGCAACTCGGGTGTTGTCGGAGAATTACTAAGCTTGTCTTAAACATGAGAGGCGTCACTTGGTTTATTTTCGTTGACCAACTTTTGAAATGAACCTCAAACTGAGTATTTTGGAGTTTTTTTGGAGGAACTGGGGTTTTGTATTGAGCGCTTACTGTAGTGAACTTTGTTTTTCTCCTGGGCTGTAGGTAGGTACCTGATGATATAATCTCATATTATTAATGCCATGACTTGACTCTCAAATTATCTTTCTCATTTTATTATAATTTGATTTTTCTCCACTATTGCTCATAATAATAATTCATGCAATACATGCATCACCTAATTTCATCCTAACACAGGCCTGACTACATGAAAGAACAGTATATGTTTAATCTACTAATATTGTGGTTGGTCATACTATACACTTGATTTATTGCTTAATCGCAATATTGGTAAAAATCGCAATTGCAATTAGATTATTTTCCAAAATCGTTCAGTCTTATTATTTACTGAAACCCAAAAATTTCTCAAAATCGATGTGTGACGCTTCAGTAGGGTTTTATTTTGAAAACTGATTGACGGTAACTATTTTTTATGGCCTCATCCAGAGCAA